GATTAAATGACGCAAACACATCTACATTAAAGGCATAGGATGTGGTGTTTGCGTTCCTTATCAAGCATCTCTTACAATGACTTACTCGTTAACATTAATTTTAGCTTTACTTTATTAACTTTCTACCTGTTTGTGTATCAGCTCCTTGCATATACTGTAGATCCTAGTGCGTCTACTGTTTGTGACTGTTAATCACAAAAAAGAACATATTTGCAATGATAAATGGACCACAATTCTTAAAGCTTTTTTTTTCTTTCTTTGCCACATCTGAGCTACTGTACTCATGTAATATTTTTTACTGCAGCTTAAGTAGGACCCTGGGCAACATGGTGAGACAGTGGTGAGAGTCTCTGGGTTTGATTCTTGGGGAGTTTGTATGTTCTGCTTGTGTTCACATGGGTTTCCTCCAGGTGCACTAGTTTCCTCGCACAGTCCATAGACATATCGGCAGGTTCGTTGCCATCTGGGGAAATCGGTTCTGGAGTGAGTGTGTCTGTGCCTGTCTGCCCTGCAATGGACTGTTTTTCTGCCTTGTGTCCATTGCTTCCCGGGACAGGCTCCAGCTCCCCTGTGACCCTGTATTGGATAAAGTAGTAAGACAATGGACAGATGAATGGAATTAAGAGACATTCTGTTATGTTAGTACAACAGATACACAAAGGCAACAGTAAGGCTGGTTGATCCTATAGCATACTCTATTCTCTTTCTCCAGCCTCAACCGGAAAAGGAAACAAACTAAACAATACAAGGACACACTACTGCGCCAGTACTTTGCATGTGAAAATAAATTAATGTATAACTGAACTACATGGAACATACACCCAACATAATACTAAATTCTTGCTCTACCATTTTAGATTTATAGCTTATTTCTACTACCCGAATGTAACACTATGCTCTTGCCTATCAAATATCATCTGCCAGTTATTTGCCGTTTTGCATTTTGTCCTTTTGAATCGTCTTCGCCTTTTCTAGAGTGTTTTCTGATTGCCTTATTTTGGAATTGTCTGTGTACTTGACTTGCTTATGAATTATACCAAAGGTAATCCACAGATATAAATTAAGAAGAGCTGTGGCTGTACACAGATACATGTGTGATTTTATTAAGGACACTAATCTAGTTTGAGCATTAAATCCTTATTGATACTTTTTTTTAACCAGTTCACAATCCTATTATTGTATGTGCAGTTTCTTAAATGCACACCTCCATGCATTTAAGGAACTTCAACATGTTATTTAATATGAGAAATCAAAAGTACTTAGAAAATCTAAATGTACTATATCTATTGTTCTGTCTGTATTAATTAGTGGCACTCTTTGTTAAAAAAATAGCGTATTAGTCAAACAATACCTAAATTTGAAATCCACTAGGGATATTCTTTACCTTGCAGAAAACAGATAATTTCTAGTTACTGTTTAAAAATAGCCTTACATGTGATATAGTACTTATTGGTCTGAAATGACCTTTTATTTTATTTTAATTTTTTTGTAAGCTTTTCTTCTGAATGGGACCTGACAAAATTGACAATTTTGTAGTCACTGGTTATTACACCTTTCTTAAGTGTCAGAATAGATTAGTTCTTGGCCTGTGTAAAAGATTTTGTAATATTTCTGCATCTCCAGTGCTATATACTATAATATAAAACTTTCTCTTCTCAGCCTGAAGCATGTTGTCAGCTTCTTTCTTGTTAAACACGAGTGAAATATTAATTTAATACACCAGTCATTTTCTCTTTGTCTAAAAGTGACCCATTATCCTTAGATGCTTTACTTTTAATGTTTGAATGCTGAAAAACATTTTATTTTGGCCTACACTGCAATTTGTTTTGTTTTTTTAATTTTCTTGGCAAGATGTCCTTTTTGTTAGCGTGTGCTTGCAGGTAATTGTACCCCGTTTCTTTAATTTAACTGTTGAATTTTAATTATTTCATACAGTCCAATGTAAATATTTTTAAAAATAGACATTCATAATTGTTTTCGTTTTATTTAGAAAACACTACTGGTAACAGACTTTATCGGTTAACAATTATTACATTTTCAATTGCTAGATGACTTAACCTTTTTTCTAAACACCACTCTTATCTCAAAAAGAAGAGATTCTATACCACTCCTGTTGCAGTAGTCATGAAACAGAAAATTAACCTTGAATAAAATCTAAAGCCAAAAGGAAAAACCATATGTTCACGGTCAGTAAAGTACACATAATCTTTTAATTTAGTAGCATGTATCTGACTAAGATCAATAAATCCTTCCCTTTGAATAATAACCTTAATATGTTTTGTTTACAGTAACAAAAATGAACATTTTTTTGTACAATTCAGGTTAATTTTATTTTTATCTCTGTCTATAGGACTTTGAAGGAGATACTAATGGGAAGACGTTATTAAGAATCTTGTCTGAAGTGCAATTTACCCTTTGATGTGACTTGTTAAGATCAAATAATTGTTCTGCATTAAGAGTGAGACTTGAGTGAATGTGTCATTGCTGGCTCTGCTTCATCAGTGCCATTGCTAAAGTCCTGTGCTAGTTAGTTTGTATCAAATACAAAAAAGACAGAAGAAAAACTCAAAACCTCATAAAAGAAAGCTGGCAGTGGTGCTGGTGGTTGTTTAGATACAGTACTGAGCTCTTGGTAAATGTTAGTCTTCATCTGGCACGATAATACAGTACCATGTGTATTGTATAAGAAATACTAGACTCCACCCTGCATAAAACATATTAATGTTATGTACTTTAGATGTAATTTTGAATTGCAGAGTAATTAACATGTACATACTGTTGAGGAGAAAATGAATCCTACAAAAATTGTGTCAGCTCAGATCAAGTTGGACCAAATTAGTGCTGGTTCAATTCCAGAGAAAAGGGAAGATGCTATAATGAATGGCCATCTGTCAAAATTTGACAAATATAGTTGTCCTTGAGATGTGAAGACTGTTCTTGGTCAAAGTTGAACAAATAAGCATTTTATGCCTAATTAAACACGATGCTGCAAGTCTTTTTGAGTAAGTATCAAATTTCAACATAAGGTTGGTGCAAGATTTGCCCATTGTGCTTATAAGACCTCTCTCAACTTGCTAGAGGATATCGGTTTTGCTTATGGACAGCAGCTTTCAAAACTTTCCACAGATTCTCAATAAGAATCAAGTCAGGACACTGACTGGAACACTCAAGGAAATTCCTTTCTTAATCTTAACCCTGACCTTGTGCTTTGAGTCATTGTCCTTTTGAAAGGTGAATGAATTATCAATCAATCTGATGTTTAAGGCCAAAGGAACTACTTTGGCAGGAGAGGGTGGAAGAGAATATTACAAGAAATGTGAGAAAAATTATTTGGGAGGCCTAAATTTCAAATTTTCATGACATTCTGGCATCATCATGATACAATATTTTGAATATTTTGAAACCTACCATTTGGCATTGACTGCATGTGTATGGTGTTATATTTATGTTTCTACACCATGTGTTTGTGGTAAGGTCATTGTAAACAGCAACCTACTGTATCTTTGGGCTGCACTGGAAGCCAGCCCCAATGTCTATGGTGAGAGAGAGCACTTTCTCACAGCAGCTTCAGTGTAACCTTAAAATAGCCTATAATTGGCATATGGGTGTATTGCTGATTGGGTTGATCTTTTGAAGGATTTTTTTTTACAAAATATTTGCTCTTTGAGCAAATTCAAGAAATGACTGCATCACTTTTGATAAAAGACGCAGAAGACAGTCCAGGGTGTAGGAAGTCCAGAGATACCATATTTCCCCACGGCCTTCCCTTTTCTCATTGAAATCAGACCTGCCTTGAGTTTTTAAGTGGAGATGTCCTTCTGGTGTGTCTTTGTGGGGCTATATATTTCCGGGTCACCCTTTCCTCCTGGCTCAGCATTGAGGGATTGGATGTCTTGAGACCCGCCTAGCCCCAAGTCATCTGCTCCGCGGCCTGAGGGCATAGGTTTCTACCCGACATCGTCTCACCTGCTGAGCCTGGGCTAACCCCCGTTTTGTCGCTACGCATAGGGTCTTTATTGCTCTCCTGGCCATTCCACATCATGCCTTTCCGATATCCGTGACAGAATTCTGAGCCATACTTTGACCCCGTGAGTGGCGTTTTTTGTTTTCCCACATCGATTTGGGCCTTTTTATTTCAGCTCTCCTACTCTAACCGCGAGATGCCACTCCTGACATTCGTGGCCGTGCATCTGAGAATCTGTCCAGGCAGCAAGCTGTTGCCTCTATCAGCTGCTACTTAACATCCTGCTTGCGATGCTTGTCAGGTAGTCCCCTTTTGCCAACAGCTTGGTGTCAATCGCATCTGGTTTGACCTGTGGATTCTGATGATTTAACTGTTCTAAGTTTCTTTAAAAGGTTCCAAGATATCCCAGCAAGAATGTTGCCGGTCCTGGGTCCCCATAATGTTCCCTGTGTTTTCCCACACTTTTGAAAGAGATCTTTCACCCATAGAGCTCCAACAAGGAAGCTGGAGTCTTTCGGTTCTTGGTGGTTGTTAGTATGGCTGCAGAGCAGTAATACTCCTTTGGTCATGAAGGAATTCAGTTCTTATGGAGCTGGTCCATTCTGCCCCACGATTCTCAATGAAAGGTATAGCTGAAAGAGTTAGATCTGGGCTATGTAAGGTGGATAATGCTACTCTGTCAACACAGAAAGTTTCATGGTATTATGTGTAAATAAGTTTTATTTGTATGCTTCCTGAAACAAAAATAATTCAGCTGTGTTTTTTGTCAAATGCTCTTGTCTTGAGTCTATAGTACTCAAATTCCTGAGAGGCGTGCTTTTGATTACCGAATCTAACATAATTGTTTCAATTACACAACAGACCTCACATTCTTATATTAAGCTAATGTGAGTACACATTCTAAACATATGACTGATTTGGTATTTTGTTTTAAAAATATTTTTACAATATATTTAAGATTAGTTTTTAGTTTATTGTAAAGGGAAGCACATACGTATTGAATAAAATATTATAATTACATTTTCATTTTTCCTAGAAAAGCAGCTATCAGACTGGATACAGGAATGGAAAAGAAATAGATACAGTTGAAACTGTTGGTAAGTCATAGATGTGGTATTTAAAGGTTACAAAATCAGCAGTGAATTCATTATCCTTATTTATGAGACCCTTGTTCATGTACAATAATTCTAAATTTTAATAACCTAATGATTGTTAGATGTAGATGATCTTGGGAGAAGTAAACATACATCCCGAAAAAGGCATATGGAAACTCCAGTAAGGAAAACAGGTGCTATATGATCACTGGTAGAGGTAAACCGTGTGTATATGTATAAATACAGTGGAACAAGTCATAGGTTTATTCCTGTATAAATACAGTGACAGATTGCAAAACACCTGCCATATACTGTAGGTAAACAGCCATGTCACAACACTCAGATTCTAAGAAAGATTTTCCTTTTACAATTAGACAGATTGATTGCTAAACAAGGGAGAACAATGGGGGCACGCAACATCTAAAATATAGTGAACTAAGTGGTGGTCCAATTTAATTGATTGTTTGAACATTAAGAGAAATCAAAATTCTGGCACTCAGGATTAATCTAAGCATTGATACTGTTACCTGCACTTTCAAACATGCTTTTGTTTTGAATAAATAAATGTCCTTTATCACACTTTAAATTGTAACACTTTGCAACAAGAATTGTTCCCCTTGCTGTGTGCATTACCTCAGAAATTTCATGTTTTACTTCCCTCTGGACTAATCAATCCGTATTAAACAAATTAAGGACTCTTTGAGCTTTTTTAAGGAGTTTGTACCCTTTTCTTAAATTCTTTCACAATCAGGAGAGCTTCATTACCATGGGAAGTCTTTTTGCATTACTAAATGTTGAATTAACAGTTTTGTCTTTCTTTAGATCCATTGAATCCACCCCCAGCTCCATATGCATTAAACATTAGCAGCCACAGTATAACACTGAAGTGGAGCCCTGCTAATCCTTCACCAGCACTATATACTCCCCAGTGGATAATTCCAAACCAGCCAGGAGGCTGGAGAAGCTCTGAGGTACAATCTAGTAGAGAATACATTGCAAGAGTCTGTATTAGGAACCAGGAAAGAACAGATTGTGTTTTGGTGTTGTTTCTTGTAACACTTTGTTCTTATGGTAAAATTACTTCCTTTTCAGAAATAAATCAAATCGGTTGTAGTAATAATTGGACAATTAGAGTTAGCAATCAGCAAAAAAAAACCTTATTAAATTACAAAGCTATTTATTAAAACTGTAACGACCGCGGAGTTCGTAAGGAAGAGGCTGTCTCCCAGCCTCTGTCCCATTATACAATACACAGTTCCGTAGTCCCGCCCCCAGGCGCTGTTCTCAGCCCGCCCTGCGTGCGCATGGCTAAAGCGCCCCATGTGGCGCTACAATACAAAATGTAGGGAGATGCAGTAAAAGGCAAGTTTGTTCTTATCAAGATAAATTACTAAGTATACACTTAAGTATACTAAGCATAACACATTGATGAGCTATTGTGTTTTTCCTCCTTTGTTACAGAATGTGTCTGAAACCCTCTATACAGTGAGGAATCTTTACCCTTACACAGAGTACAAGTTCAGAGTTTGCGTTGTAACACCACATCACCAGGCCTGCTCCCCAGTCAGCATCAGTTACAGGACAACAGCTTTTGGAGGTACAATAACATGGCTTCGTTTTGAAATCATTCTGTTCCTCTTTACACGTATTCATTGCGTTATTTTTTGCCTTTCACGGTTTCTAGATTTCCATTGGGCTGAATTTGTCACTGTCTTTGAGGATTTTGAATACTTTTTTTGTTTGTTAGTGTAGGACAGACGATTAAGCACAGAAAGGTGCCTGATTGTATACAAATATCATTTTCTTGTATAAGGATGGAAACTCTACTTAAAATTCTAAATTAAGACGCCTCAGGTTAATATCACTGTTTGTTTCCTTTCTATTAAATTTGATAACAGTAAAAAAAAAAATTATAGAAACTCCCTTTTTATTCATTCATCAAGGAAATTACCATATATAACATATGCACTATGCAAGTACAGTTACTGAAATAAGTATATACTGTAATACCATACATAACAACCAATGCATTAACAAACCTATAAGCAAACAAAATTTTAATAAGGGAAAGGAATATGGGAAATGAGGGAAATTGTATTTTTAGAACTAGAACCACAATTATAATAATATTGATCTATATAACATAGTAAATTATAACCGTGTACAGTATGTTCTATAGTCAAATAAAGATTATTATCAATAAACCAAACATGGAACACAGTTAAAAGCACTGGTAGAATCAACAGTATAATTTATCTTTCCTTCAAAGGATGTTTTTTATAACGACATTTTTGACTGTTTACTTTAGTTTTACATAGTGTACAGTATACATACAGTATATACTGTAGTAGTTCAGGTGGGTAGCTGCGTCAGCATGCATAGGCTACAAAGGAACAAGTAATACTGTAGGTTTATTCCATGCTGAAAAGAGAAGAAATAAAACACAATATTTTGGCCGTGAAGCCTTTTTCAGGTGTGTGTATATATATACACTGTATAAGTTAATATAAGAAAACACAAGAAAAGTTCAAAATGATGGGACATTATTTGGCTAATTGTTCCTTCCAGTTCTTTTTTTAAAGAAACCAGGGTATTGGCTTCAAGAGCATGGATAGGTAGTTTGTTCCATATTCCCACCTCCCTATGGGCTAAACGGTACCTCCTGTTCTTGATTAGTTCTTGATAGTTTCCACTTGTATCCTTTGTTCCACTATTCATGACTTTTTTAATATCTTTGAGGGGTTTGTATCAAACTCCCTTGTAATCTTCTCAAAATCATCAAAAAAAGTCATCAAGAGTAAAAAGGTTTTCTGTTCTCACAAATAGTCATCTATTTTCTTTGATGGTAAAAATAATGGCTTCTGGTATTCTCAATTAAATTCTGAATCAAATAATTCAGGCAGGATTCATATTATCATGAATATTATTTTATATCGATGATCTACCGTTACTGGGCAGCGGAGCACATTTAGCAACAGACTGCTCCAGCTACGGTGTTCAAGGGAACGTTTCCGCAGGTCTTTCCTCCTGGCGGCTGTCAGGGTGTATAATGCTGCCCTAGGCTAGGACTGTTAGCCCTTCATTTGCTCCTCTATGGACAGCATGTTGCTCCATTGTACTTTTTGGACAATCAGTCTGTATAAAGCTATGCACATTTTGCACATATTTTATTGTTTTTACAGTGACTATGATCAGCACATTTTGCACACACCTATGTATTTATTTATTTTTATTTATTTTGTTGTCTTTTGTTTTATTACTATTCTGATGTCTGTTTTGTTTGTCTTGGGCTGGACTGCTGTAACACATCAATTTCCCTACGGGATTAATAAAGTATTATCTATCTATCAATGTTGTTTTTAGAAGGACAGAAAACTGCAATTTCCGCCATTAGTTCCTCATCACTTTGTTTTGTGCGCCATGTTAACAATAGGTCAGCCATGAATCTTTAACTGGTGTTTCATGTAGATTTTCACAAAATATTTACATGCATAATATTGCACAATGCGTAGTATTCACATTAATGCATTGCATTCAGAAAAGGAGATTCAAGAGTTCAAGAGAGCAAGAACTGGCATAAAGAGATGGTACAGCGCTTTGTAGGCAGCAACCATGGAGATCTTACTAATATCCTAATCAACACTTTTTAATGGCGTTCTATGCATGCAGCCTGAAAGAATATTCTTTTTAGCTAGATCTGAGCCACATGCTTGAAGCATGTAGTTTCCAGTTTCCCACTCAGTGCTTCTCTCCTTTTGTACTGAAGTTCCCTCCAGTGCGCCTGTGATACAGAATGTTGCCAGCCTGGGTCCTGACACTGTGGAGATCAGCTGGTCCCCTCCTCTTCATCCTGGAGGACCAGTTGTTGGCTATAATCTGAACCTCCTCAGTGAGAAACAGAGTCTCCATCAAGTTGCAGGGAGCAATGTCTTCCAAGCATCTTTTTTCCCAACACTCCCCAACACTACATACAGGTAATCTTTTTCAAAAAACTTTCTAAGAACTAACCTTGAATTGTGATTTGTCTCTTCTCATGTAAAACTAAAGACTATATGATAAAAAAATCTAAACAGAAATGTTTCCTTTTATGTTTTAGAATTATATAAAACATAGTGAAGAGTTTCATTAAAAGTGTAAATGAAACTGTGTATTATGAAAACTGACATACAGTACTTGTGTAACAAACTGCAACACAATATTGTTTACACGTCAGCTGCATTACAGTAACAAGCAGCAGCAAACATAATAATCTGTAATTCTTGCATTCAAAAGAAAAAAATTCTAATAGATTAAAAAACCTTAATTAAAGTACATTGTGTTATTAATTTACTGTACCTTTTAATATTTAAATTCTGTCTAAAGAGACCAGGTTATCTATTATTACTTCAAAGACATAACAAATATTAAATCTGTATTAAATATTAATTAAACATTTTATTATATAAAGTGACAAGAGAATATGGATTTTACATTTACAATAGATTTAATAACTTTAATGTTAGTTTCACTAGTGTTAATACAATTATTTTTATATTTATAGAATTATTTACAGTTATTTAAAGGACTGAGATTACCTGGTTTTGGCCTTTTATAGAACCAGGAAACAGAACTCAAACCTGTACAAGAAGGAAAGGAGAAACATATTTGCCATAAAATAAAAGATTTTACTCTTGTACAAAAGATCTTGTACATAATCTGTTAAAAAAACAGATGCTAAACAAATGGAAACCTTTCTCCCCAAAAGAGTGTATGGTGATACAAGCAAGACATTTATTTCATCTGGGAGGTACAGCTAAAATAAATAATTATTCCTACAACTATAAGATATCAGTCCCTTTCTAAGATACTAAAATCGATCTCTTCAGTGCTCAAATTGCCTGGAAGACTTCTGTAGTCGGGCATTCTGAAGGAGGAACCCACTCATGATACAGTTAATTTTCTTTTTTATACCTGCCTTGACTCCTCTCTTGAAAAAGTCTCTATACTTTTTGGGCCCACTTTTAACTGTACTGTTCCCAGGAAGGCTTAATTACCTCCCAGGTTTGATCATCGTTAAATATGAGTAAAATTGTCTGTTCACCTGGACTCTGGCCCCTGTGGCTTCCTCAGTCGATAAGATAAGGGACACCTATTCTATAGTAATGTGTTCCAGGTGATTTGGTGCACTGAGCTCTCCCATATCCAATTCTGTTCATTTGTAAAAGCCAGGATATTATAGTTTTAAGTCAGTGCTGGAACATATTTAAGATAGTGTGATTTGCTGGATTAATTGTCATAGAACATTATTTTCTCTTAGGGGTGTGGGACAGCACCATATCACCAGACTTTCCACGGTACTCCAGTAAAGTCAGAAAGTTTTACTGATAGGGTAATTCTATCAGTAGATTGTGCACCCGTGCAGAATTGGGAGGGTGTGGGAGATCAGGGGAAGAGTAGATGGCAGAGTTGGAGATAATTGTTACTGAACAACTCATACAGATGAGGGTCCCAATTATGAATAATTTAGTCTTATTAGTTCTGTGGCACAACCCCTCACCAAGTCTTACAGGAACTGCTGTAGTTTGCTAGGAAGTTTGCTGTTTTGCCAGCAGAAGAAGGATGGCGGAGACTAATTAATATTACAAGTAGGGTTGCTGCTTTCTGAATCTGGGCACTACAGAGTTTATAGTACTCTTCTAGTCCTCTAAAGAGACATTACTTCTTCTAGACATTTTCCTTCACAAAGAAGGGAGGCTGCTGTTCAACAGACAGCTGCCATTGATGAATAATAGCAGGTTTGATATCCTGTTTACCTGTGTTTTAGCAGATGGCTTAAGGCGCGAGTTTGAGACTGTAAGGTTATACTGGCTTGTAAAGGAACCAATAATATTCTATTGTGCTCGATCCACAGATGTCTAGTTTTTCCATGTATTTAAGAAGGAGTTCTCAAAGGTTACTTACTGGATGAAAACACTAGAAATTAGAATGCGGTCAGACTAGGGTGGGCAATGATCTTATAGTTTTAGTTTGTGGGAGTGGAGGGAGCATGGATCAGGGGTGCTCAATCGGTTTTCCTCTGGGGATTCTATCCTAAAAGCAGAACCCCCTCTTTTTAATACACTTATTAATTAAAACTTAATAATGTGATCATTAAGGGAAACTGCAAAAATATGGGATTAATAAAGAACTCTGGTTTTATCCTGAGGAGAAAAGGGACTTGTATAAAAGTAAATCATTATAAGGATCTGAAGGATCTTCCTGACACACATTGGACATTATCTTGTATAAGCCACTACTGCAAAAAAAAAATTGGAGATAGAAAGTATGAGATACTCTACCATCAGAGCAACCAATCTCTGAAGAAAGGCATTCTTTCACCCAGGACTCGATGAAAAGTGCCCTCTTCATTTACAGACAGCGATGACATTCAAAGTTTCATACACCGCTTAGATTGAAGCCAGAGATTGAATTATTTTTGCAGGTCTGGGTATATTGTTCACAGGCATTATGTTTATTCTTTGGATAAAGAAATCTAAAAAGGTGAAATATAAGTATGAGCTGGCTAATTTTTTACTGAGACTGGCTCAGCTGGCTATGATTAAGAGTATGATGAATAATGTGACTAATGCTCCAACAAGAGCTGTGATATTAGTGACATTCAAACTGAAGCTGGAGTTTGCTTATTAAGGACTCATCCAACAGACTGAATTGTTTCTAGAGGCATAGGCAAGGGGGGATGTAGTGTGTTCTGTGGCAAAAAGGGAACCAATGTTGACATGGTAGACAGATTGAAAATGACTGATATTGTATTTTTTAATTAATTAACAAGGTTAATTTTAATTGTGATGTTGTACATGGTTATTTAATCTGCACTGCATTATGTCAAGGGTAGTGAATGGATGACTGTTGGTATTTTTCTGGTTGAGTTTTGGGGTTTGCCATTACAATTATATGTGTGGAGGGATGTTGATGAGCTTTGTTTATATGATTTTCAAAATTTAATGGAAATAAATGTTTAAGACCTGAAAAAATCATCCTTCTCTCTGGAACTGAACTGATGCTTAGACATAATGAACATGCTTTCAAATTTGTTTTGGAAGGATAATCATAGCTGCTGTAAATACAGAAGGAGAAGGACCTGCAGCAGAGAGGAATGGGATAACAACGGCAAAAGAAAGCAAGTACATTTGACGATTGAGACACTTGTCAGTTTGATCAAACTGAAATTAAACTAGAGCTGCAGCTCACATCTTTATGTATTTTCACTTTTTTTTTAGCCACCAGCGAAAAACAATGGTTAATTCTGTCACGAATGAATTCATTGAGGAGGAAGACTGTGGCAGATTTATTTTCAGGAGCAGAGTGTCTTCCAACTGAATCAATACAATATAATATTAGTGGCAAGTATAATTCATGACAAAACTAACACATTTTCCAGTGGTTTCACAGAGCATAACTACTACTAATCCTGACATTGCTATTGTTTATTCAGGTGACTATTGCTAATTATCCATCCATTTTCTAACCACTTCTTCCAATTCAGGGTCTCAAGGCAGGCTACAGCCTGGACAGGATGCTAGTGTATCACAGGGCAGACACGCTTACAAAAACTCAGGCCAATTTTCCCAGAAGCTTATTAAACTACCAATATGTCTTTGGACTGTAGAAGGAAGCTGGAGAACCTTGAAGAAAACCTGCTTGAACACGTGAAGAACATACAAAGTCCACACAGATAGCTCCCTGGTTCCAGATCTGAACCTAGGGCCACAACGGCGCATTGCAGAAAAGCTAACCCTGCCACTCCGATTGCTAATTATGCTCTGTAAAACTACTTTTTTATTCTTCCATTACAAAAACAATAAAGAAAAAGATTACTCAGAAAAAGAATATCTGATTCATATTTAAATATTGATTTGTTTTTTAGGGATTTCTGCAAGCTACAACTCCAAACATATTTACTTCTCTGAAGGAACCCACATCTGGAGGAAAGGAGCACTCCATTTATCTGACGTTTCAGATCTGAAAATAGTGTTCACTGGTCCTGTGGAGATCACGTCAATATCCGTCGATTGGCTGTACAAAAATATTTATTTTGTCATGGGTGGACAGGTACAAACCTAAAATTACACCATGTGATGCCTTTCTAAAGTATGTCTTTGTCTATGTTGGTTATGATTCATATATACAGTAGGGTCTTGACATCTGCAGATTTATCTTTTGTGAATCCAAGCTCATCACTCACAGGATAAGAGTCCCACACTCATGACATATCACCCTCGTCACCCACAAACTGGACTGTAAGATCTTGTTAGACCACATGCCTTGGTCCCTCCCTTCATGACCTCTTTCTTCCACGATACTGATTCACATTTCGCGGACTCCAACTTCTTACACTTCTTACATTTTGAATTATATTTGCAGCTCCTCCTCCAGTGTTAATCCTCCTTGTCTGTGATGTTCACTATTTTGCAAATCATAGCAGACTCTACATTACTGATATACATTTGTTAGTGGTCCTTATTCAGATTCCTGTGTTTATCGCTAGTTGCATACATTAGCTTACGCCTAATTTTTAATGGCTAAGAATTTAAAAGTTAAATAGGTTTTATTACACCAATTTAAAATGACTAAGTCTAAGTCTATAATGTAAATGTGCTTTTCAAAATGCACTTTTATGCAAGTACTTAGTCTCCAGGTTTTTAGTCTTTAGGCTTAGTCTTCAGGTCTTTAGTCTTCACTTTTAGAAGTACTTCTAAAAGTACTTAGCCTTCAAAAAGGCTTTATGCATCTGGAAAAAAAGTTTTAGTAATTATATTTCTTTGACTCTCTAATTGTGATGACTTACATCATCATGTGATGTTAACCTGTTATATGATGTTTCCTCTTGAGTTTAGGTTTGCTTCTGCAGTATAGATGACTGCAACAACACAGTGGACTTTATTGCTGCTAACCACAGTTTTCCCTCAAAAATTATTGCAGATCCTTACAATGGGTAAGCATGCATATACAATTCAGCTTACAGATAAAAATTCAGTTAGTGTCTTTGTGAAAAATATGCCAGATTTTGTTTATTTTTGTCCATTTTTGAAACAGAAAACAATATTAATAAATATTTTTTCTATAATTGTACTTATTCTGATGGTGACATTAATGCAGTTTTATGTGTTTATAGAAGAGTTCTGACTGTTCAATAATTAAAGAAAGGATAAATGATTTGGTCTGTGCTTACATAGGGTATACAGTAATAGCATTTGACTGCTGGATCTTGACAAATTGATCGGGAGACTTTAATTTTTTAATTAATAGTATAAAATCAAACCTTCAGGTGTAGTCTTCTACTGACTGTTTCCTTACTATTCCAGAGTAAGTTAAAAAAGAAATTTACAGGACTGTTTTTAAAATCATGGATCCATTGATTGTGCCTACTTCCTTATATGATGCAATATCAGCAAATAATATTCCTCACTTAATGACTTTTCATTATCATTCATGTCGAAAAACTATAAAGTTTATGTTTTTATGATGTTTAAATACCATTATAGCATTATTCATATCCTGTTCTTAAGAAACCATGAACAAACAGTAGTATGGATCATGAGTTGGGTTTTACCCATCTGTTACTGATTTTAAAAACCTTGGTATATAATTTTTACTTCACTGATGTTATTTTTAATGTGCTTTTCTTTTTCAGATACATATTCTTGTTGGTGGATGATGGGATTTATCGAATGTCTCTCCCACAGCTGCCTGGGCAGAAGAGTTACAATGGCTTGGTTGTGAGAAGTGACTTTATTCGAGACTTTGTTGTCAGCTTTCAGTCTAGGCGACTGCTGTATTTTAATGAGAGTGATAGAAGTATATCATCTGCCTTTCTAGATGGCTCATCTTTCAGCATCATTCGGCCCCCTGTAAGTCTGGTAGACCCAGTGATGAGTCTTACTTATGAAGACAACTTCTTCATGCTCACAGATGGAAGAGCAGTCTTCCATGAGACACGCCTTGGTGATCTGTTTTTCTACAATGAATACGTGGTGGACTGTTCTGTTCCTTTTGAGTACTTTGGGTTTGACAACTTGTACTTTTTTAGTGAATTCAGTCAGCCATATCCAGTACCCAGAAGTCCCCAAAATGTTCGGGTCTTGTTTGGATCAAACAATGCTTCCTTGAAGTGGGAGAGACCTGCAGCAATGATTGGATCAAGTGAGTGTGCCAGTACAATGTGTCTTATTATGATATATTCTAATATACTCCAAAGTATAGTAATTGGTTGGGCTGCCATGATTCACATTTTGATGTTCTTTTTCTTATGTAGATCTCCTAACTTAGACAGCCCTAAATATTTGTGTCCAGTGAAGCATCTATCACCATAATAACGATGTATTCTTGGAACAAAATCCAGAAAGAATTGTATTACTTTATAGCTGAGTATACTGATAATACATTTTCAAAAAGGGCACTGAAATCTAGATTTTCTTCCCTTAAGGCCCTGCTGCCTGGCAGAACTGGACATACACTGTGAGGATTTCTGCATTTAATTCATCTGTGATAAAGGAGTACAGGGACATTGTTGACACACAGATGGCTGCTGAAGGACTGGTGAGTTCCAGCAGATATAAAATGACTATCTGGGCAGAATCACCAGGAGGGAGAAGCCCACCTTCCAAAGCATTTGAGGGAACAACACAAAAAGAAGGTGAGATATAGCAACTATAGCAACTACTTAGCATGGGCTGTGTAAATGCAACATTGTATAATAAAATATATTATTCTTCAAATGATTCCAAATAGGTAGCTGTAGAAGTCAAGAATGAGTAAAGAGAAAGCAGTTTGCAAATGGTAGAACGTTTACACAGAACTAGGTGATAAAACTGCCTTCACAGTTGGGTCTATCTCAGTGTTTACTGTTAGTAACTACAGTACCTTTGCTGATGAACTAAACTACTGACTGAGCAAAAAGAATTGGCCTCCACAAGTACTTTTCATTAAATTATAGAAAGCAATCATCAGAATTTTACAACGAGACATTTGTTTTTACAAATGAAGGGCTCTACAATATGCTTTTTCATGAGTTTTAATTTGTGGAACAGTTACACTGAGAACCTGTTCCAGATTGTTTAATTAAAATCTAAAAAGCACTTTCGTGAGACTGGAAGCTCCTGGAAAGTCTTGAAAATGTAGATTTTGAAAGATACTGTATGTTCAGTATTCTCTGAAGAAGTTAATATTCAGATATTCTTGTGGTGATTGCTATTGAACTGTAGGAATAATTTCAAAGGAGCCCCATAGGGTTTCTTTAATTCTGGTAATTTGTCTAGGAAAAAACAGTACATTACTGAGTTATTATAGTATGTGTAACTATAGGCTAAGCCTGTTTTCTTTTGACAGTAATGGAAAATCCCTACATAATTGCTGCTGGACAAAATGCTCTTTGGAACCAAAGACTGGAAAGTTTTGATTCCAGAACATTAATTGTCCCTGATATTAAAGATGTGAAAGGTAAAATCCATGAAATGTAAAAATAAAAAAATATTTTTAATTATGCATATGTTTTTGGCTTTCTAATTTTGAATGTACACAAGAAAGCAACAGCTTTGACAGTGGTTATTCTTTATGTAAAAACAAACATGATCAAAATGTTCTTATTTGTTATATGTATGTTCATGAAAAATAAAGCACATAAACAGAAAAACAACTTTATTTGCTTACCAATTAACACATGACTTATGGGTAGTTTAGAACTGTTGATACATTTAAATGTTATACTTAACTACAACCGATTACTGTGGAATATCACAATAACAAATCACTCTAAAGCATGTAAACAAAACAAAAATAAATGTCAGAAAGGAAGGAAATGATGAAAGTCCATAATTATTATTTTTTTAATTTGACAGGAGCAGCTGTCTATTCAAACATTTCACCAAACAATTCAGTTCTACCATATACAAGATTAATCAATACTAAATAATCTCTTTTGTTTTCTGCACAATAGTCAAAATCTAAGTACCTTCTCCACACACATTTAGTACATGTATAAAACACTTCATTAGATCACATGAGAAGAAAACTCTTAATTGTGGTGATTAATTATTGAATATTGAGGTGATTATTAATATTGGCTCTGGCTCTCGCAAGCACTATAGCTACTGTCCTGATTTACCTCTAACAAGATGTAAACTTACAGGTACTGTATGGAGTCTGTTCCTAGAAATCTAGGTGGTACATTCTTTATTATCTAAACAAGGAATATTAAACTCAACTGGCTCTTGCACGTCTTCAATATAACACAGTACAGCCTGTTCAGCTCTGTTGTTAGCTATTATGTTCACTGCAGATAACTTTTGTGAACTTCGTTTGTTGTCTTTCTTTATAATTCTGCTGCTTCCACTTCTTATCTCTCTGTCTGTCTTGTTGTTCTCATTATCAAACAAAACCATTCATTACTTTGATGAACAGTCGAATGATGTACTGATCCCTTCCTGGGGGCTGGAAATTTGATTAATGAAGACACTTTTGAGCTTTAAACCTGATTGTTCACAACAGATTATATTCAAAAACAAAATTCATCTCACAAAATGTTTTTATCGTTTCTAAATGATTATAAGACCATTCAGAAAGAAATAATGAATGCCATGTTTCTCTTCCACTTTATTTTTGTCCCTCACTCTGCAGATATTGACTGGTACAATGGCACCATCTTCTGGAGTAATGGTTCAGGATATATCCATGTGACAGTGGTAGAGGATTTCAGTGGAAGTGCAAGTGTTTCTGTGCTGCCGACAATTCACAAAGGCTGTGCCTTAGCTTATGATTGGCTTGGACAACACCTGTATTGGGCTGACTCATCTTCAAGTGTGGTAATTTATAGCACTCAAACTACATATCCTTTTACCACAATGTGTGTAAGATCAATAATTTAATAGTTTTTTAATTTTCTATTTCAGATTTATAGGAAATCAACTACTTCCCTAGCACCACAAGTAGTTGCTCAAGGCAAATACCTGGTTAGGGATTTGGCAGTAGATTCTGTTAATGCATTCATTTACTGGACCACTGCACATTCTGTAGAAAGTTCAAGATTAGATGGTAAGAACCATCTCATCTTCCAGGAGCTGCCTCCGTTTTCTGGAAAACAGGTAAGGCAATAGCATGGAAAGTGGAAAGTGTTTCTGTCATAGTATCACTGTTAGGCTTTGGATATTAATATCTACACATTTATAATGAAAAATTTATAGATTTATAGGTTGGAAATTATTTTAATTGACATTTTATTTGAAATTAAAGTGGAGTGCATTACTCTTAATGAAGAGTGTTTGCTTTTTTCTAAAGTTTCTAGAGCTCCAATTGTGCTTATTGACTGCAATAGAAAAATATTTTCACAGAAGGTTTTCAAAAAATATAGTTTTTACTTAAGGTTGTGAAGGCATAAAAACACAAAGAGGACATGTTGCCATAAATTTAGTAGCTACTAATAAGGACTGTATGTCTAATGAAGTGTTGAACTGAAAGAGTCATCTGAATGTAGAGCATCATCTCATAGTCAGGTTTAGGACCAGAAGATTGATAGATATCACATGAATTGGTCGTGGAAGAAACATAAAGAAATATGATAAACGTTTCTCTGCATCAACTTCTGCAGGCTAGCTGCAACAATGCTGTATGGGCATCTTGTGCTATCAAGGCTACCTACAAGCATTATGAAACCATCTCTAGCATCTCAAGTGTTAGAACTTGCTTAGTTTGTATTCAGTCATTGTTGGTCAGCAGGCTTCACTGATGGAATCTGATTTCATCTGTTTTTCTCGGAGGAGAATACATGACTATGAAAGCTCCATAGTGATGGATACCCTGATGCCAGTGTCTTGGAGAGAGACAGATATGATGATAGCCATGTAAGCTTGTATAGAGTTTGCAGCAGCCTCAAGACAGAACTTATAGTTGGACTGTACATGGCAGAGCCAGAGACCAGTACTGCCTTAACAAGATCATAAGCCTGGTCATTGGTCATTCCACTTCACAAACATGATCACTTTAATACTTTATTCATGGATGGCCACATCAGACATTGGATGAAGATCCTCTGTTTAATCAGTGTGTCTATATCTTTAACATCACTTTTACATAGTATATCGCCTTTAGTCCATTTTCATTTTAATAATAAACTATGTTTTGTGTGTATGTGCGCACAACTGTCTTCCTGGATCCAAACATTTGCTAAATATAAAATGATGATAAAAGTATCCCTATATTACTTTGAGCTGTACATTCTGCAGACAAATTGGAACACTGTCTGAACCCATCCTGACATAAAGATGTGATTTTCGATAAAACTGAAGGATTTTTAATTTCAGGGAGTTGATTTGAATGATTTTAAGTCATCATTAATCTTAAGCATCGATATAAAATAATGTATAAGTTAAAATAATTCTGTTCCCTCTGAATTCATATTGTTACAGGCAACAGGTCTCACAACAGACCTTGCTGAGGGGCATATCTACTGGCTAGTTCAAGAGGATTCATTCTTGCACTTACACAGAGCTAGTCTTCTGAAAGATGGGTAATGAAGTCTGCAACAATTCTATGAGTTCAATTAACCTAAAAAGATAAAACAGGAACTAGTGTACAAACAGTCATTGTATGAGCTGAAATACAGCTCATAAGGTTTTTTGGTTTGTCAGTGTTGTCAGGTTGCAAAGCAACATGAAAATCTTTCCTTCATTCCTAATATACTGTACATAAATTACATGAACATCTCTAAATTATCTATATTTTTACCAGGTTTATGGACATTCACATAATGGAGTTTGAAGACTGGAGTTCCTCTTGGGTGTCCCATCATTCATTAGCATATTACAGTGGGAGACTTTTCTGGCTAGATGTTGAAGGCTGGCTCACTGTACAAGAATTGAACCAGCATAGTAGTGTTGCCCTTTCCACAGATGCTAAACTAACTGCTTTTGCTCTTTTTCAAAGAACACTGAAACCTCTGCCAGGTACTTGCATTTTCAGCTTGTGGTTCACGTTTATTTCTATTCTACTAATGATCAGGTAAAATGGTCAGAAAGGTGTTGGCTTTGATGTAAGTGCAAGGTTCTGTTTTTCCACTGCTTCACTTTTTGAAAACCTTCTCACTTTTGATTTATGAGTGGCCAACGAGTAAAACATTCAAGCAGCAGTTTTCTATCTACATCCCTCAAAATAGCAAAATTCTAACTTGAGCTGTACCACAGTTCTATTTTATTTGTATACATGATAGGATAGTATGAAAAAATGAATGATGTTTAGGTGTTTATGTTGACACGTGTAGTACGCAAGGGGCGTGTTCAGTGTGGAGGCAGAGCCCTGGATGAAAGGCGAGACATTGGCTGATGAGTCACAGCTGGACCGCCTTAACCAATTGAAGAGCATCTGTTCAGGCAGTATATAACCACACTGGACAGGCCTCCGACGGAATGAGTCTTCTGGGAGAGGGGGGAGGGGAGAGGGGAGTCGAGTCGAGTCGAGTCGAGTCGAGTCGAGTCTCACTATACTATACTATACTGGTAGTCCCAGAGGGGATTGTACCCGAGCATGAGGTCGACCATTTTCTTTATTTTTTGCCTGTCCCGTCGTGCAGTCTGGTCCCCGCCGCCAAGCGGGGTCTTTTTCCTGGCTGGGCCCCATTAGCTCTGCCCCGACGGTGCAGCGCCGCTTTCTGTGACGGAGTACTTTTGTATTTTCCCTTTTATGTTTTCTTTCGGTTCTCGCCAACCTCATACTGGTGCCGCCACCACCGCCACACACGGGGCGGGGCCAATTTACCGCCGCTCGCCGTGGCTCCTCCCACTGCCGCACTGCTATACACGTTATTTACATCCTTTAGAAAATGTGGAGAAAATTAAAAAAGCAAACTAAATGCAAAAAATCTAGTTAAAGCATATAAATTTAAATGAAGGGATTTATGTTCAAACTGTATAATAAAGCCTCACCTGGAATAATGTACACACTTTTAGTCACCACGTCATAGACAGGATATTGTTGCTCCAGAATCTGTCCAGAGAAAAACAACCAGATGCATTCCAGTGTTCAAGGACTACACTGACACACGCTGAAGGAATCAAACTTTATTAGTCTTGGACAGAAAAGACTATGAGCTGACATGATTAAAGTTTTCAAAATCCACAAATGCATTGACAAAAAGTCTGGGAGATTTCAGCAGTGAAACATGAACCAGAGGATACAAGTGGGAAACTATGGAACTACTAACTACCAAATGGGCCAGATGGGCTGAATTACTCCTGTTTTTTGTCATCTTTATGATGTGTGATTTACCATGGATGCTTGTGTGTTAAAACAATTGTAACACTTTTTAAATGTTTGCCTTTGTATTGATATAGAACACTGTTATACTGTGGTTAGCTTCATGTAGCAATAGTCAGAGTTTTGTTACTCAGATTTGTTACAGTAAATGTGTGTGTTGCCCTTTATAGAATTCCTGAATACATTTAAAATTTTAAGCAGTTTATTCTTCTGTCCTATTTTTCAGATGGGTTTATTTCTCCCCCTGTTGTAATTCCAAAGCCAGTGCCAAAAACATCCATTCGAATCATAGGAAATTATTCCATCTTCTGGATAGTTTGGGAGAACAGCATTACTGAGTATGGCACTGTCGTCTATTGTGTCAATTCTAAAATGCTACAAAATCACAGAAGACAGCTTGATCTGAAGGTACCTACATGCCAAATGAGCTTTTTAATGTTGCAGAAAACAACTTTGCAGCAGTTGTAAGGGATGTGCAGCTACATTATGCATACTAAATTTACAATTTGTGTATTAAAATTGTTGGCTGGGATATTTCAGGAGTGAAAATATGGTATCAGATACTAAACCAATTGTAAAACACTGCAGTGGATGAGAAGGAAATGTGGGTGTACAGTATGTGTCACATATTTGTGCATTTATTACACAACATAATTGTAATCCTAAAACCAGTTACATTTGATCATTTTAAAACTGCAACATATTTTTTATAGAGTTAGAGCCCTTTCTTCCTTGTTTAGAATTTGTCCTTTACATCAAGGCACATTTACAGTATTGATTAATCAAAAAGTTATGAAAAATGCCATTTGAAAAATAGTAACTTTAGCTGTTACGTCTAAGTAGAATTTATGAACTCCTTTGAAAGATTGATCTGCAGTTTTATTCTACATTTAGTGCTTTTTGTGCATGATTTTTCATTTTTTCCCTCTGCTTCTGCTTACTGTACATCTTCCAATTTAGAAGAAGATTAATTTTCCAGCATGTAGGCTATGGAAAAGAAATCTTTGAGATTGTTATATAGAGTCTGTTTCAGTGTTAGACAAATCACTTACCTGCCTTGTAAGAAACATTTGTAGTGTATCCTGGTGCTTTTGTAAAAGCAGTCTTCTTTTTGTTGTTTTTTAATAATGGAAAATTGATTGGATTTCTTTTAAATTTAATAAATGAGATGAGATTTAATAAATATGAGATTAATATAATGTATTTGTATTATGGAAATGGTAGTATTTCCTTTCCAATGTTCTTTGGCTTTTTAGAGCATCTGGTTTTATTTTCACTGAGAGTTTTATTATCTTTAGAGTCACTTTGCCAGCTATTGTCAGTTATCGATTGAATCATCTGAACCAAGGATTGAAGTGAGAGGTTTGCAGCCTTACACTATATTTGACATAAGTATTACCCCATACACTTACTGGGGAAGGGGAAACACAACAAAGACAACCTTACAAGCACCTGAAGGAGGTATGGCATTTTTGTTTTAAAAGCAGGAGATACAGTATCTTGTTAAATGTGTAGGCTGTTGCATAGACATCAGGACCATTATATTACAATGTGTCTAAAATATGAACAACTGTGATGCATGAAATAAAGGTTACATTAATGCCTGTATGATTTGCTGTGTATGTTCCTCAGTGTAAGCCTTTATGATTCTTTCTGCTTACGTTACGAGCTTATGGTTTTTTGGTTTTTATTGCTTACTGTTGTATGGGGGAATAGAGGTTTTTTTAATTTTGATTCAGTCACCATATCTTACATTCAGCTCAAAACTTGTCAGTTGATGGTTATTGGTAAAGAAGAGTTTTTAAGTCATAGCATATCACTTCTTCAAATTGCTGCTCTTTTCTTAATCAGCTGGTTCTTTAGATTTCTTTCACTTGCTCTGACCCATTTGGATTTAGGACTTACTGTACTTGTTGTGTGGGGGAAATTTTGTTTTCATTGCCATATTATGATTTAAGATAGTAAAAAGCTTATCAATATACCGGAGAAGGATTTCCTCAAGTACAGTAACTTCACACAATTGTCTGAGAGCCTTCAGAGTTCAGTGTGTTCAGTCAACAAGGGTTGCCATGGCTGGCTGTACAAAAGTGTCTCCTGGGCACTGCCAAGTGCCTCTGGGCATACAGTGACAGTAGAGAGAGACCACCCCTGTAACCAGCACCTAGCTGTACCTGTATGGTACTGTGGAGCTCACAGCATGTTAAATGACACACCTGAGAGTACATGCATTATTCTGCCTGTGCAATCTAGGGACTGTAGATTATTCAGAAACAATTGGTGAGTGTATTAAAATAATCTGAAATATTTTTAGTGTGAAATCAGAAAGGTAAAAAATTCACATGCAGTGTTGAAGCCTGTAACATTTACTAATTTAAATATTTTTGTATCGTATGGTGTGCCCATAGGACAATTACTCCATCATTTATTCTTATTTTTCCTTTAACAAGGAGAGGTAGATGAAAGGAACAATGTTTTTCCTATTTTGTTACTATTACTTTTTTATAATGCATAATATATATTATGTTTTACTTTTGCATGTTATTTGGGAGTGTTTAGATCCATGCTGATACTTTTAAAGTTTTTTTTTTGTTAAAATCAATGTATTATACTGTATATTTAATGCAGTGATCCTTTCAGTTTAATTTCAGATTGTTTGTTTTATTCTGAACAGTGCCGTCAGCGCCACAGAAACTCCGAATGTATGTGTTTAGCACCAATGAGCCATGGGATTCAGAGGCGACACAGGTGGAATTGCGATGGGATGCACCTCAACATGCAAACGGAATCATAGTGGGATACATGCTACATTACAGTGTGCTGAATACAAGCAGCTCCAATAACACATCCATTAAATGGGAAATAAAGCGTATTCTGGACGATAAAACATTTTATAAGCTCATAGACGTGCAGTATGATTCTCTAATTCTTTTTAAGGTACACCTCTCCCATTTCCTGGTTTCCTTTTTCACTGTGAAATAAAAAGTTTAGTGCAGTTCTAACATTTGTCGATATGCAAGAGGCAGGTGGAACCTAGAAAGTGGGTAGAAGGATTTTAAAATCAGCTATCTTAGGGACACTGGACTTCTACGTGGAAGGTAGTGATTTTAAATACCAGTTGGGGCATCACTCTTGAGCAATGCTTTTCCCTTGGATTACTTCAGCGAAAGTGAAAGTTTTAGAGCCGAGATTTAAGTTGCTTTCTATAAAAAGCTTATGCATTTAAATTAACAAGCTTGAATAACCTTTATGTTCTTAAGATTTTTTTCTTCTGTTTTTACAGGTTCAGGCCTTTACCTCAATAGGTCCAGGACAAATGTCCAGCATTTCACAAGCCAACACTTCAGGCAAGTGTCTTCAATTTTGGGCTGAGTTTCCTAAAAATTGTATCATTTAATAAGAAGTATTTTTTAAGCTAGTCCAGGAACTCTTAAGTGCCTAGATATTTCAGACAAGTACATTATTTGTCTTCAGCATTTCTACTAAATGAAAGACCCATGATTGAATGCCATATTAAATAAGAGCATAAGTACAGTATAAGGTCTCCCACAGCATTGGAATAAGTTATACAACACAGCACTCATGTTCTATGTTTATTGTAAAGTTGAATTATTTCGAAATGCTTAAAAAACGCTCAGTTCTGATTCTATCTTTTTCAGAAAAAGTAATGTTTAAAAAGAAAATTGATGGAACAATTGACAAACCTCAATAGGTGTTCAGTCATCATAGCAAATTGTTTCTGCACTAAAGAGAAAAGTGTGGGCTACAGTAGAAATGAAACGTGTTGCATTGCAGGTTTTATGTGAATAAGTGAGGATGTTTAGTATTCACTATAACAAGCTGAAAATGTAAAGTGCTTTACATAACTGCTTCTGTTTTTGTTGTAGCTCTGATACCAGTTCCACGGCTTCTAATTTCAGCAGAAAAACACATTTCCCTTCTGGATATCGACACTGGCCAGACTGTTCAGCTAGTTTCAATAGAGGGCAATGCATCTCTAATTAGCTCTGGGGCTGACGAAGGAATTCTGTATGACATTGAAAATGACACACTTTATGAAACTAATGTGCATAGTAGTTCAAGAGTAAAGGTAATCTTTTTACTGATATATTTCAGACCCTAATACTGGGATAAAGGCATGCAGTTCATACAACATAAACTATTTTTGATAATGAGTTCAACATTATCCTTCAATTGATTGTCAAATATTAAAATTTCATGGAAAGATGTGATTGTTAGCCTAGATACACCTTAGCACTGTCATGGTAATGTTAAATTTATTATGATTATTATGATTAATGTTCATATTATAAATATAAATCAGTATCATGTCAATTGTTCCATTTATGTTTTTTGGTAATTAATTAAAAAATGTTAAAATGCAATTAATAGTGCAACTTCCTTCAAAATCTTTTTAAAAATCTACAGAAATTAGCAGTGATATTGACTTTTATTGGGAATGATATTATCTGATCTAAGTTAATAGATTAATTGGAAGGTACCTATAGTTTACTTTTCTTGCAGACTTTTAGCTTAATCAGTAATTAAAATTAAATGTATGTTTGTCTATATAATTCCATCTGAACATGGTGCATTATGCTAATCACAATGGAATTCTGAAATTAACAAGTTTTTATTATAATTTTAAAAAACCAAGAAAACACAGTAAAGCACAATATCCCCCTTTCTCAACACAGTGTTATTGATTGGACTTGAAAGACTCAACAATAGAAAAAAATTGTGAACTTTGAATCTAGTCTTTAATGTAAATGAAGGTATGTTTTTCAGTGAGCGATGACATTAGACTGTAGAATCAAGATGGGCACTGGCTAGACTTCATCTTCCTAAGAGCCAGATGAATATGGGCCTATTATATACAGTTTGAACACTTTTTTCTTGGACACATCTCGTTTTCAATTTAATGCACAGCTATCCATATACGACATGTTGACAATTTTCTGATCTGTAATGATTTTTCCACAACCTTTCATTCAACAGCATTTTCACTTTTAACACAGAAAACAAAAATGTAGGCTGTACAGGGTTCAATGGGTTTTCAGGAGAAACACTCCAGGACTTTCTACCATATATCCTGCTTTGTAGCACCATGTACCCAAGCAGGAGAAAACCTCATATTAAAGGGTTAAATGATGACAAAATGCTCTGAGTGTGAGAGGCCCATAGAAGTATCATCTAGCTAGACTTCCAAGTAAGAGTGAAGAATATCCATGTTTAGAACAGTAGACAAAGAAGGAGAACCCTACTTCCAGAACTTAACCACATCAAGACATTTTTCAAAATGTGTAGAAAGGATATAAGCAGATAAGATCACTTTATTGGCCATATACAGTTTCTTGTATTAGGAATTTGTCTTTTCACAAACCCCAACTTGCTCTCCATGAGACACACAGACAGGGAGAGAAGCTTGGAGTCAGAGCGCAGGGTCAGCCATTTATACAGCTCCCCTGGAGCAGTTGGGGTTAAGGGCGCAGATCCTTAGCCACAGAGCCACCGCTCCGCCATACAAGAGACTAGGAAATACGTCTTTGAGTTGTCAAGTAACCTATTACAAGAAATTTATAATATAATAGTAAATAATTCAATGGTTCAGATTTTTGGAAGTTGATTTTATATTGTCAAGATGTTGACCTACAAATTTTTTTCATTTCTAACTTTTGTAACCGACAAAACCTTTATTGCCATCTTGTCTTTTAGTTGTTAAGATCGATTTCCCCCTGGTGGCTTGTACACAATTAGTCTCTCTGATGGATCTGGTCTCTATACAAAAAAATGACAAATATCTAAACTTTGAATGCACATCTTTTGGTGCTTTTACATACGCTTTCAAAAACATTTTAGTTTTATTCTATGATTTAACTAACCAGAAAACAAAAGTATCCTGTGGTTTCTACCTTACTGTAAAGAATCTTATATGTGAAAACTAGATTCTGCAGACGCGATTATCATTTTTATCTTATCTCTAGTGTTTGCAATAAATTTCTGTCCTTAGGTCCTGATGGACAGTCGCTTGTGCAAGGCTAGGGACATGGCAGTGGATTGGATTGGAAGGCATTTGTTGATTGCCTCATACTTCACCATGAGTGACATGCAGCTCTATGTGGTGGATTTAGACCTGAAACCCAGAGCATTGGAAGTTATTGTCATCCCTCAAAACAACATAAACTGTACAATAGGTGCTTTTGCTATCTACCCATTACTGAGGTATGTAGAATGAACCTGAGCTGACATAGTGATAAAAATCATAAAGTGATATTGATGCTCCTATTACTGTATTGTGATTTAATCCTGAACAAACAAAAATGTTGTGGTTCTGAGGCAGCAGGACTATGTGTTGTTTTTTCTGTATGGTGTATACTGTATATATATCAATGAAATACATTTGCTTTTTATTGCTGTAAGCAAATATCAATATACACCTTACAGAGTGATAATGATGTGAAATTGACAGAAAGGTGCTCTCTATTTTTGGAAGAGCAGGTCATTCAGGATGCCAAGAAACATTGTGAATGCTTGAGAGTTTGGACATTTCTTCAAAATGATTGTAAAACTTTTGAAACCTTTTTACTAATGTACTTTCTGAATCTAGTGTGTGTTTTTGTTCCCTCCATAATATTTACTCCACAGCCGTGTTTACTGGGTTGAAAGCTCTGATATGGAGACAAGAATTGTCTACTTAGATCTGCAAAACAACACTGTGCACTGTGTTGTCCGAGATCAATTAGAAATGAAAAACTTGTCTCTTGAAGAGGAGCCCTGTAACTGCACTACAGTCCAGTTAAATCTGGGCAATTCGATGGCTTTGGATACATCAGGCAGAGAAAATGGCCGCATTTATTTCTCCACTCAAATAGGAGACATATGGGCTACAGACCTAGAAGGATGCTGTTGCAAAAACATAACTAGAGTTCCTTTGCTGTCTGGTAAGTTGAAAATAGCTAGATTTTCAGATTTTTTTTTCAATGCAAATATGAGATTTTCTGAAATATGAGAACATAAACAGAATAAATTACTCAATTCAGTTATCATCATAGGCTGAAATCAGCATTGATCTGCAAACAACAGAAAAGACTATTTTCACCCTTTACCATTAGAATGTTTGACTGTGGAAATGATCAAACCTGACACGAATTTGTAATATGATGATTTTTTTAACAGTTTACAGTGTTTTATTGCTCACACTTAACAACATTGAACTTTGTGCAAGATCAAGATGTTGCCAACTTTTATAGCAAATATTTCCTAATATATTTATTTCTATATAAATTAGACTGTATGTACATAGATGATGTGGATCAATTGAATTCTTCAATTTGAAGACAGAATGTCAATTAAAAGAAAAAACAATATTTTTCAGAATATTGTAAACAATATTTACATATATTCTATATATTAATATTTCACATGGACACATTTATAGAAGTTAAAACTTCAGCTGAGACCCAAGATCAAATACAAGTACAAATACAAGATAAAAGAAAACCAATTTCATCCACTTTTAAATGTCCTGACTGACCTGTGTTATCACATGCCTAACTAAACAATAACGAAATGAACTTGAACTTGAACTTTATTGCCATATGTAACCGGTACTGGTACAATGGAATTCTTACTTACAGAAAGTCTCTCGTTTGTAAAACAAGTGTAAAAAACAAAACAAAGTGCAAACCGTGCATCAAGACAATGTACAAACAAACAATAGACAATGTGCAAGTAAACATGCAGACAACTGCATTGACATTCCTCAAATTCCAAGATTCTCGATCAGCCTGTTTCGCAAATGTGACTTTGCAGGCAGCTAGCAACCTGTAGGGTGCCATTGGCTAATCAAGTAGTTAGGCTCTCACTTTGTTACAGAACAAAGTCCAGAAAGTCCATACTGTACATACACATGCATGTCGACATTTGCATATAATAAATTGTAAAGTTTTCAGAACAAGAAATTTTAATTATTTTTAACATATTTAAGTATCAATCAAACATTTATCAAACAAATATCTGTGGTAGACTTTTCGATATATATATATATTATCCTCAGGTCTTAAAATGATATCTACTCGGTTTTCTAGACATTATTTTTCTTCTTGGCCTTAAAGGCACATATTGTATATTGCTGAATTGCAAACACTAGCGTTATGTACCGTAACTATATAAAATAATGTCATATTGTGTTTCCTCCTTGATACAGGTGAAAAAATCAGGAGTTTGATTGTTGATGAACAGTTCATTTACTGGACTGCCATAGCGGGCAATAATGAGACAGTGTTTCTGATGGAAAAATCCAGTGGCCAGCAGAGGGCCTTGTTCACTGAGAAACACCCTGTTCACCTCAAGGCTTACAGTTCAAATCTGCATCCTTACCCAGGTACAGTACATGTGAGATACTGTATGAGAACATTCTTTCATACTCTATTCAAAACTCTGACAGCTATATTAATACACGTCTTTCAAAACCTTTTCTGCGTATGAAGGTTTAGAAATGCTATCATGAGAGTAAAGAGAGTAAAGATGTGAATGGTTATATCTTGTGTTCGAACGGTTATTTCACATTAACGGCCGTGTGACTAAAGGTTCTGTCGCCAGCGGTTATTTCGGAAATTTTCCAAACTATTAGGTAACTGCTGTCTTCGGAGTGCAGTTCTCTGCTTGGTGTGAATATTTCAACCGTAGCAGTTCATTAAGAAAGAAGTACTACTTTAAAATCCATATCATAACGAAGTGGGAGAAAATGAAAGAATGCTAATATTGGACTTATACAGTAAACACGTGGCTTCGTTTTTGTTGACAAAAGAGAATTCATTGTTAAGGTTTTTAGTTAAGAATCGAACAAGCTGAAGCATTTTGTGAATACAGTAGCCCACTAGTGTAGCCTGGATGTAGCAAACGTCTGTATCGTTTTTTTCTGTGTTCCGTGTTGCAAGTGCTTTATCTTGGTTTTTTTTAAGATGGAGAAGAGCTTCTTTATGATGTTTTACTTGTGCGAAATGAGTTCTCAAACAGAATGAGAACTGTGAAACACATCTTCAACTCGACTAATACGCTTTTGTTCTGCGTTAGTACAACATTACCAGTCTAACTTGTTTAACATAACATAAAAAGTGAGATCATGTATGTATTCAGTGTAGTCGATGTTTTGTTTTACAGAGAAAAACTGCTTGATACCAGCTCCAAACAAGGATAAAGCTAGAATAATTCGAGCTTCAAACAGCAGTTTTGTGCTTGAATTCCCCCAATACAGTCCTCTCACTCAGTGCAATGGGATAACCTTGCCCAGACCTACCTACCTACTATATTATGGTGTTGTGAAGAACGTTAGCAATGGATACAACTGCTTACATGGACTGCAGTGTACTGTTGTGGTAATATTGCAATTCACTAATTTCTTTCAGATGTTTGCATTTTTAGACTTTGAAGATTATATTGGGTATTTCAACCACAACAAGATTTTCACATCAGTGTCTATGGCCAAAGGCTGATTAAAAACTGTTCTCATGATAAAAACGACACCTTTGTTCTGCTGTACCAGCATGCTAGTGTGCATAATCATTATTTTAGTGTTTAATTAAATACTTGTAGTGGTTCTGCAGAAATACTGTAGTCCCTTTAAGAAAATGGCCAAATAACTGGGTGAAAACCCTCAATGTTTTTGCATTTAATTGTGTTTATTGCAAGGACTGTTTTGCTGTTTGATAAACAGACATCTTTTTTTAATGAAACCTTGCATAATAAGACATTCCAGAATCATTCAGCTTTCTAAATAGGCATTTTGTATAGTTTTAAAACACTCAAGTAAAAGGACATGTGAATACTACAAAATTTTAATTTCAATCCAGAAAACCTATAGAGCTGAGCTCAATATATATAATGAAACATGAAAAATACATTATGATGAATTTTGATTTAATAAAAAAAGTTTTATGTGCTTTTATATGTAGATTAAAATGGAACGCTACTACTCCTGATGCTCTGTGAAGAAACATATAAATAAAAAATGTTAAAAAATCAAAGCACAAGGTCAAATGATTGGGTTTGTTTTTTTGAAGCATCAAAACAACCCAAAAACAATCATATCTTCTCAAAGGTGAAAAGATGAATGTGAGTGGGATTTTTTCAAGGTTTCATCTACAGTAAATCAATGTCCCATTTTGTGAAATTTATAAATGCCCTTTTTGTGAAAAGAAAGCTGTGCTTTCATGACAGTTTTTATCTTTCCTGTGGCTTGGTTCCAATCATTAAAAAAAGATATTTGTTAAGAAAGGTTAATCTATATAATCCATCAATTTGCCAAACATTATTAATGCTAAAACATTGAGCAGTTAGTAACAAAAGTTAAATTATTATTTTTAATGACCATATAGTATTTTATATTAGCACTTAAATTCACTCAATGTGGACATGAAGGTGCTTGGTATCTTCTTGGCTTTTCCTGTAATTAGTTTTCTTCTGTCTTGATTTGCTACATGTGTTCTCCTTGTTATGTATTCTTCTTGAGAAGTTTACTGTAGCACACTGACTAATTGCTGATCCAGAGAAAAATAATTGCTTCCGAAAACGTTTAGCAGATTTAGTTGCAGATAATAATATTGCAAAGCAAATACACTGCTGTAGGTCTAATGATTAATCTGTGATTATAGGATGTCCAGGAACCCATTTTTCATCTCCAAGGATTACAGGCATTCACAACCTATTTAATGCAAACTGCTGTGAAGAATTACTATGGGGGCTTTGAGGAACATCTTGGAGAAGAGGTCATTAACTCTACTTTGTTTGGAAGTAAGGTGTTAGTTACAAATTACTTGTAGTCGTTTATTGTCCATCACAAACAACAAGGCCTTGTACCAACCCTGCAGTAACTCATCTGAAATCCTAACCCTACTGTTCACCCTAATTCAAGTTTTAGCTCTAAACCCAGTTCTGTTTCAGATAGCCCCTTCCCATAGCCTTAACTCAAACACTAACAGAAGTTCAACTCCAAATCCTCATGATTTAGTTTTCTGTAACTATTTCTTCTTGGTTTGCTATATAAATATCTATCTTGCACATACTGTAGAATTATTGTGTCGTTCCCACTTGAATTTGTCACTATTGTTACAATACAGCCGTAGAATTTATTTGTTCGCTTAAATCGTTTAGAATGGTGACAGCCTGATTTTTCATTTCTCAGCACCTGGGGCAGTTACAAACATTACTCTCACTGTGGCCTCTGACAGAGCTGTTAACTTATCATGGACTGAACCTTCGCAGCCAAATGGTCCCACTGCTAAAATCAGGTATCAGGCCCTAATAAATGCATTGGACTGTTATCCCTCAGAACCTCAGACAAAAAATGAATTTCCTGAGCACTGCCTTTCAATGATGTTTCATCATCTCAGAGGAGGTACATCGTATAAATTTGAGGTATGTTCAGTTATTTTTTAGATGTGCTCTTATATACAATATACTGTGTTTATATTTTTCTTGATACTGCGTTAAGAAAATGTGGTTTGATTTTGGCTTTAATCTTTCAAAGAATGAGTAACAAATGACTAAACTGCTTCTTAATATATTGGTATCTGTACTAACTAGTAAATGTCAAGTTGTAGCATTTAACATCCTTTCCTGTTGCACTGCGACGAACTGGCATCCTGTCCTGTCCTATGTTGTGCCCTCTGCTTCCAGGACAGGCCCTTATCAGCAGCATTCTGATAATTGATGAGTGTTTCAGTGCAATTAGTGAAAAACTTATATAGTGTTTCCACTGTGTGTCAGTTTACATAACAACTTTTGAATATTTAACGACCTCATTTTCCACTGATAACCACCTAAACCTTTAGACTAAGTCTTTGATTCAGTCTCTCTTTTTACCAATAATGAATTGTGTCTGAAAGGTTGCAAAGATATGTCTTTCTCCTCATTTCCCTATAAAGAACAATGGCTTTAATAATAGATAGATGAGCTCCACAGCCACACCAAAAACCTCAAGTGAGGGATAACGTACGATTCAAAATCAAAAGAGTAATGTTTTGTATTATTGACTTTTGATTTATATTAGACTGTTTATTTTCTTGATCTCTTTGAACTGTATTTCATATAAAGGTACTGTCATTTCACCCTGAAGAAAACTGGTTTTCCATCAGTGCTCCACTCCGTGTTACAACCTTCCAGTCCCCTTCTGCACCAATACTTGTAACTCTGGGCAACACCAGTGTAGAACTACAGTGGAAAGCACCCAGTGACAATAGTACAAGGCACTTCTGGTTTGAACTATCTGAGGTAAAGACAAGACAAGAAATGAAAAATCAGGTCATTTCCTCAATATGCCCTCTGTGTTTTGAACACAACAATGGAATGATTTGAGATAAGAATGGAGAAATCAAGTTGAGAAGTCAAATTGGTTCAATTGAATATTGTTGAGAAAGCATTATTCTAACCACTCCTTTTGGATTTTGTTCTAAAAAAAAAAGAAAAGGCTGAAAAAACCAAAGTGACTCCAATAATGATTGTTTTTTTTTATGATGCTTCATAATGTTTAAGAAGAACATCAGTTTTCTAAAAGCTGCAGGTATGTGTGAGCTGAGGAAATGGGCTACGTCTTAACTCTAATAAACTGTTCTGTGCTAATTCTTAACATTTGCAGCCACTCACTGGAATATGGTATCAGCCACAGACTGAATGCAGGAATGGATCTATGAATACATGCGTCGTGTTATCCATTCATCCAAACAGGAAGTATTTGGTTCGAATTAAAGTGCTTTATAAGACTGAGGAGGCAGCTGTTTCACCAGAAGTGGCATTCACAACAACAGGTAAGACGAGAGGGATTTGTCAGTGTGCTACAGTATGTAAGAAAAAACCAAAACTTTTTGAACATGGAAATAAAAACTGAAATAAGCCTTCCAAGCAAAGTACAACTCATTTGACTAAATCATGCGTTTACTTATTGAAGAGACTTTGCTCTCTTTGATTCTGGTTTTTGTTTGTAATGGATTGTAAAACATTGATCTTTAACAGCTGGAGTCCCAGGCAAGCCTGGAGTTCCGAGGTTCTGGAAAGAAGGAAAGACAATTGAATGGCAGAAGGCTGAAGACAATGGTTGCAGCATCACTTACTACATACTGGAGATCAGGTCCCCTTAATAAGTGATGCATTTGTCAACATTTGTAACATTTGCAACAGTGTTCTCTTTTATTTTGTTTGTGTCAGATGTACAGTACAAACCAGATGATTGAATAGCTCATGCATGAGCTGATAGATTGACCATCCTGATTGGCCAGTCAATCCATGGGTTTGCTGTCTCAAATAAGACAGTTGTGGAAAGGAAGAAACTTTCAGTTAAAGTCTGACCTCAAAGGAGCTGGTGGAGGCCCCAGATATCTTTTGTTTATTCAGTCTTGGTTAATCAAGAAACTGATAAACTTGTTAAGCCAAGTTAAAGTGAATCTGGCAAAGTTCCACACCTGGTAGAACTGGCTTTATCAGTTTAGGTCACTCTGATTTTAAATTTTAGTTAAAGGGCATGTTATATTTAGCTAAATCTGTTTGATAAGGCATTAATTAATGCATTATTTAACTACTTTATTTGCTCCTTACCACAGTGCTATATCTCATCAATCTCATCAATCCCTTTATACATGGATTTAGGATTAAATAGACTAATAGATCACACATACCATTCAAAATCTACAATTTACTTATAAAATAATTTACAAACATTTGATGTTTCCATTAATCAAATAATAAAGGAAAATAAGGTTTTAAAAAAAAAACATCCTGCATTTATAAAGTTACCTGACATCTCAGAGAAAAAATGAAGAGGAAATAGTGGCTTAGAGGCAATCATTATTTTAATATTTCCAGAAAGTGATTTTAAAGCTACAGTAGGACGTCCTATTTTCTTTTTAATGGGGGAAATGCGTAGTCACAGTGTGATGTATAATAGAACAGATGAGAGTAAATCAGAGAAACAGAAGGTAGGTTTAGAATGGCAAACATGTCTTTGTGAGTGAGCAGTCCCTGGAGAAGATTTGTGGTGTTAGAGAAATGATCTCTTCTTTAAAATTTACATCAAAATTAATCTTCATTGTATTTATATCTCATTAATATTCTTGCATTGCAGAATGCATGATAACATGTGTATTGATTTTTCCTGCTGGCCTCCAGGCAGGTGCAGAAGAAGAGTGTTGCAGCGAATGAGACTGACCCTGGACCCTGGCGGCTGGTTCACAATGACTCCTGCAGCTCAAGTGTTTGCACCTGGAAAGCTAAAAACCACAGGGGGTCCTTTCAGTTTCGTGCAGCAGCTGCCAGTTTGCTTGGTCTTGGAGAATACAGTGATATCAGTGGGGCTATAGAATTGCACAGTACGTTTCACTATTTCAGCTTTCGAAGTCTGGAAATGTGCCCATTTTATGTTTTTTGTATGTACTGTACTTGCTGTACTTGCTTCATGACCAGAGTGTGCCAGTAAGAATAGGAGAATAAATCCAGGTGTCCAGGCTAAATTCTACTCTGACCCACTCAATCTGGCTATCTGACCTTAAAGTTCCCCTTTAATGTTATTGGTGAAGTGATTTCTCATTTTTCTCTCTGGTTTTCTGTGTTATTGGGCTGTACCACATCACACCCAGATTGGTGCTGCACTTCGGTGGTGGATGAGGACACTCTTTGGGTGTCTTTGATATGAAAAATGTTTTGTAAATTTAATTTATAATTATTACTACATAAAATCTGGTGCATCAACACAAGTAGTACTGTCTTGCCCAGCCTTGTCAATTATAGCAATTAAAAACCTTTGGGGAAACTTGTATGAAGTGTGATCTGCTGGCAAATAATACTAATCAACTTCTAGAAGCTCATTTAATCTGGGGAGGGAACAGGATACCAAGGTCAACAGGCTGTGTATTGTTGTTAACTGTATTTATAGCAGGGACAACTGATTTCAGAATATTACGCCTTGTACATTTTACAACATCCCCCATAAGCACAAAGAATTATTGATCACCGTACAATATGTAGTGTCTACATCAAAAGTTAATCACAAGCAAAAATAATGATCTCCCAAGGGATAAAAAAAGATCTGAGGCCACTCAGATCTACAGTACGTCACTGGTATAGTGACTGCTATACTGAGGTATAGTGGTGTGCCATTGTAAACAGAACAAATGACTACATCTAAACATACACACTGACCTTTCTTTCACTTCATTCCAGGCGATTCTCACAACGTAGATCCGTTCATTACTGTGACAGCAGTGACTGCAGTTCTTGTATTGCTGGTAATGATAATTGCTTTGGGTAAGTATTTTAGCAGAGCAGTCACTGAGTATAATATTTTATTATGGCATAAATAAATGTTAATTGACACTGATCAATGTTAGAAAGCAGAACAGAATAAAGAGATTCTTCTTATATAGTCAAACACAGCAACCATCACAGCTGGTTCATCTTTATTAAAGCTCATTGCTGTGGTATGTTGTACTTTCCTTGATTTTGAACCTATTATCATTCATAAATATTCATATATTTCATAATCCACAGCAATATGTGCTCTTAAAAAACACTATAAATGTGAAAAGTGTTTCTTACAATATGCATATTCAACCCATGGTACAGGCCATTTGAGAGCATTGATAATATATAAAACAATGCAAAAAGTGATTTAAATTTAGCAGGGAAGGCTAGTTTGTCTTAAATGGGATAGAGAACCAGACAGGCTAGGAGGTAGAACTGTTTGGGATGCAGATTTGGACTATACTTTCTGTTCTTGTTAGAAAACTAGCTCACCAACTGAACTATTTTTAACTCGTACTTAGAATGTGTACAAAAACTTGGGCAGCTCCAGGTAAAAACTACTGTCAACTAACTCCTGAGTGTTCTGTGAGTTTGTGTGCGTTTGTAACTAATGTGCTTCCAGTATGTATTTCTGCATTTACTACGCATCTTCAGGCACTACATCTTTCGCTTGTGAGATTATGAAAATCTTAAGGTCTACTTTGTGAGGTCAGATAAAGACCACGGAAAAATACCATTAAAACACATTTGGTGACACTCATTTACAGAAAGAAAATATACAAAATATTATATTTTTGTTGCAAAAATTCTGTCTTCTGAGCTTGTTCTATTAATGCTGTTTTGTGAACATCCCCCAGTTTTATATTTGTTTACATTTTTTATCATGGTGTGTTTTAATTGGAGTTCACAGAAACACTATTATGGAACAAGTACAGGCTAATTCATTATGGAACAAGTACAGGCTAATTCAGCACTGAAGAGTGGAAAGAATAGAACACATTACAGCTAAAGCCTTCAAGTATGAATGACACCATAAAAAGATTCAAAAGCCAGAGCCTAGTGTATTTTGTTCTACATTTTAACATGAAATTAACCTCTACTTGCTTCTGTGCAGCTTACACACTGACAAAGTTCCCTGCTCAAACTCTCTGTCATGTCAATTTGACATCAGTATATACAAATAACTATTAGGATCATGGTAGGATGACAGACATGAACTAGATCTGTTATTTCTAGTGTCATGTGATGGGCCATACTGTGCTTTTATACTCTGAGCTGTATAGGGGTCTGGGAGAAAATGCAGGGTGAATGCATGCTTGCCTTTTTTAAGATTAACTGGAAAATAAATTGTTGATTACAAGTGACTGTGAAATGTCACAATATTTTTCTTGGAATTGGGACTGGGTGGCTCCAGTGAGTATTCAAAGTAACATACTGTAATACTACCCATGTCCAAGGTTCAGAACCTGTCTGATCTCCATAAAGATGGGGGTGGAGGACACACCCCAATACCTGTCCATGCAAATAGTGATTCTGGTTGTACTCTCTTTGAACACCTTTGTAAAACTACTGGTGTGGGGTGTCTTAAAATGGGAATTTTAAATGGGGGTCAGGGTTAGAAAAAAAACACAGTAGCTCTGTGGTACAAATCAAATGTAGTCTGTTTACAGTGCTGCAAACATTAAACCAAACAGCAGAACAAAGCCTTTGTCTTTTTCCAGCTCTTGATTGACTTCTTGAATCTCTAACAAAACTTGGCATCTAATCTGCTTACCAGTTTTCCAAAACTCTTTTCTCTTGAGAGTCTTCAAAACACTGTTCCAAAATTTAAAATCTCTCAAGTTCCTCAGTTATGCACTCACTTGGTACTGTAAGTCTGTGTTTTTTCCTTCCCCCTCTGGTACAACTGTTGCCAAGTGGTCAGGTGACTAAGGGCATCTGATCAATCCCGACAGCATTCTGGGGAATGTAGTCCAGACAAGAATCTCCCCCTCATCTGGAGTCGCCACCCTCTTACAACCTTCAAATTTCCCTTTGAACATTTACATTTTTTACTACTAAATAAAACGTCATTTTAATACAAATCCCACTTTCTTTTCTGTTTTTTTCTAGTTGTGTATAAAAGACACAAACAAAAGAAGTCTTGTCCTAACAACATAACCATTCACTTGGAGCCAGATCAAGAACTTGATAACCTCCGGGGGCTGGTGGGACTGGCTAATGCCTGCTATGCTATAAGGTAAATGAACCAATGTACTGTAACTGTGATCTAACCAATAGGACACATAAACAAAAGCAGGCTAAGAGTGCTAAATTGTATTGTGTGTATTAAAGAATACTGTGGTGTAGTCTAACATGCTTCACTGCACATCATAAAATAAAGAACATGCTGAAAAAACTATTTCTCCTCACAATATCGGGGATTAAATGGTTTGGGATGTAAGCTTTGCGAAATGCCACCAGACTTTTTCCATCTGTTGAACCAGAATTTTTGGTGATACAACGTAGCTGTGTGTTTTATAGGTAGGTGTTGCAATGCAGAAGGTGATGGCCATAAAGGGTTGTTTATCCTCTAATGGCAGCAGCTGATAGGTGGCTGAGTGCCAGGGTGGCACAAAGCCAATAAGGATGCATGTACACTATGTGAAGCTCAATGAGTTCTCTAGTTACTTTTGTGTTTTAAACCTTGACAGAAAACAAAATTGATTTTTGAAGGATTGAGGGAAAAGCTCATTCATTTGAAAATCATTTGATGGCCCTTTAAAATATAAGGGGCTCAATCTACTGCACCATTGCCTTTGTCTCCCCCGCACCTCTTAAGTAACAAAATGTCATCATTCAGGAGAGGACTTGTATAAAAAAAGGTGTCATGCTGCAAAGCGGATGAATTCAGTTTTGATAGTACCATGGCATAATGTAAACGTGCTCTTTAAGGCTAGTATGGAAAGATCTAAGACACAAAAAGTCGCGGACGGCAACAGATAGACAAGCATCTCTGCTTACAGTGCATTCAAATTAAAATGTCTTCTTTCTGTGTCCAGTACCCTTCCAAATGCTTGTGAGACCAGCAGACTGCCAGTGTTTCCAAGGGAGAGGCTTAAACTGCTGAGTTTCCTGGGCAGCGGGGCTTTTGGTGAGGTCTATTCAGGCACTGCTGTGAACATCCTGGGGGATGGAACTGGAGAAACCCAAGTGGCCATAAAGGTGAACTCGTCCAAAGCACAAAGAAGCCGTACATTCTCCTTCCCATTCCGTTTCTCCTCCTATTTTTAAGACAAACCTCAGGGTCTAATGTAACAGAATTGTCAGCTACAGGCAGTTTGTTCTAAAATGACAAATTGCTCTTCAAGGTGCTCCTTTGTTATGAAGTCTTTTGCGGTTCCTCGTTGCTTTTCCAGGAGATGGCGCTGTTGATTTCTCACTTTAGCGTGCACGGAGGGATTGTTTTGTTTCTGTCAAGTTGCACATTGTAATTTGCTAGGTAGTTTTAGGTTCGGTAAATGCTTTGCAAAATACAAAGCAGAAGCAGTTAGGAAAACATATTCTTTAATTTGTCAAAAAAATTACTCAATGGAAGAAAATGCAGGTGATACAAAGGTACTGTACAGTACCATCTTTTATATACAAATGCATTCACCCAATTTGCAGTCTTGATATCTGGAAAATAATTCTCTTTTTTATTCTTTCAGTCAGTCATTTCTGTTTCATTTAAGAATGAAACTTTAGTAGCAATATGCAGTTTTAAATGAAATCAGAGGACAGCATGATCCAGAAAAGCTAGATACCTGTCACACTTGCCTGTTTTAATCTGCAGTCCTGTCCAAAATAAGGTTGCCAAAACTGACCTAAAGACATGGAAACTAATAATATAGCCCTATTAACTAAATAATCAATTCAATCAATTAATTAAAGAAGGATAGTACAAAATTCAAAAAATATATTTTGCTCGTCAGTTTCAGGTTTGTTTATCACAGGTAAGAATTGTACTTAGAATTTGCTTGGGTATTATAGTTGATTAATGTGTGATTTTATGTAAAGTAATATATGTGATACGCTATACTATTTTTACCATCAACATATAAGGACAGTAAACAAATACTCTTGGGTCCATTTTGAATGCCTCTCACTTTACAGGCAGGTTTCAAGAAGCGCAACTGGAATGAGATTCTGCCAAGGATTTTCATAGAAATGGGATGATAATAAAAATAAAGGCCAACTCAGTAAATTCCGTGTGTGAAGTACAAGATTCCAGCATTCAAAGTGCTTCACCAGCAACATTTCTAAAAGCACAGCTGTGTGTGCACATCTACTGAATAAGAAAAAAAAATGTCACTAACCAAGAAAACCATTTAATGATGTGGCGAAGCAATTTGTTAATGTGCGTGTTGAATACGGCGTTTAAGTGTTTGTATTCATTCCCCCCCCACATTATTTCTAAAGGTTTAAAAAATAACACCACTCCTTAACAAGCAGGGAGTGCTCTTGATACCTTTGGAAACTAATGTAACCCTACACTCAAATATTCATTTATACCAAAGATGATAGGCAGAACAGAAAGCACACAATGAAGCCCATGTCACAACAGTGCTCTTCGAAAGCTGGTTTGCACTCTCATGCCAAGTCGGTTACGCTGTTAAGGGTCCCTGGCTAGCCTCCTGCTAACTGAACCAAGAGCCGGTGGATTCAGGTGTGCGGAGACTCCACTGAGCTGCTGCGCCCGTATCATGCTTTCAATTGAGGTGCTGACAGTGACTGAGGATCACTAAATGGATATTGTATCCTTGTTTTGAGCAGACCTTGAAGAGAGGAGCTACAGACCATGAAAAAGCTGAATTCCTGAAGGAGGCACATTTGATGAGGTAAAGAGCAAGTCCATTACCACGAACCCTTGGTTTTACAGTGGAGATGGGGGATGTGGTCAGCGAGGGGAACACTCTGTCCTCTGACCGCTCTCTTTTCTGCGGGTTGCGTGTTTTTACTTCACATTCTCCTGAACTTCCCATATGAAAAATGGTAGAAGAGTAATACGGGGTTTTCTTGAAAAGTGGGGAAAGCCTCTTTGAAAGAAAACAAAAGATGAAAACGGTGCATATCATCCATTTTTCCAATTTGCTTTTGCAGAAGTGTATTATTATTAAAGAAAATGTGCATTGGGCTCTTGGTAAGTAAAAAAAAGAATCATGTAAATGTAGTTGTTGCACAACACACAAGTATGAACCTTGAAGTATACTGGGATGTACACCACACTTCCAGTATGTTTCATAATGGGGAAACCAACAGATACAGAAAAAATCAGGTGATAGTGTTAAACAAAATTGGTTGAGGCATACAAATGGACAGATTTCATGTTTGGTCCTTTTCAGGCATCAATTTCCTAAAATGCAACTATCATGCAGCTCATTTACATTCCACATTAAGTCATCCCATACTGTATGTGCTGAATAAACAATAAGTAGATGTGGAACTGATAAACATAAATCTACATGTTGCAATTTTGTTAGGCAAGAGAAGCTGAACTATTTTTTATTCAATGCTTTGAGTTGTCTCAGCTATTTCCCTATTTGATACGTGTTCCATTATGGGATTTAATTAATTATTAGCTTATTTGTGTCCTCATGTGCTGCATTGAGCTGAAATGCTTGTCTATTACTCACTGGAAACATTGGCAGTTTTTGTCATGTGTGTTTGAATCATTCTTCCATCAGACTTGCTAGTAAAGAAAGGGGCCATAGTAAACTTAAAAAGCATGTATAATGTGTAATGGCACCATAGATTTCAAGTTTTCAATATCATATATACTATCAGAATGGTTTTGTTTTAAAAGAATTTCTATTTTTTTTCTATAATTCTAAATTCTAAAAATAAAACTAAATTGGTGCAGTGTTTTCCCAGGATACCTTATAGCCTTTTAAATGTTATTTTTAGACTGGAAGGGAATTGTAACATATTTAACAGTGCATGCACTAAAAGTACAAGCTCTGATATGTTTTCTATTGAAATGCGTAGCGAACATAAAAAAAGCCTCATTTTCACTTCTAGCATCTCGTGTCTCTGAAACTTTTCCTCATTTTGTAACTGTTTGTGAAGATGTATTTTATTGTATACATCTTCTATGATGATGCAAAAGCATCGTCATAGATAATCAGATGTCTTCAATATTTCACTAATAAAGGGGTTCTTTATTGGAATAACAGATTTAATTCGTTTTTATACATGGGTGATATGTTCCTTGAGAGTACCAGAGTGAAATGAAAACAACAGCAAAACTTCTTTTTATTTACAAGATTCAACGTGAAAAGCTTTACCGATTGAATGCAGCTTTAGAGATTGTATGGTTTTATCATAAGGGGTGTTTATGAAACAAGCACTTAACAAAGTAGAAATATTTTCATTTTCACTCAAGTGGGTTTAGCAGCAATTTTCTGGTGTTTAGAAAACAGTGACATGTAGTAGAAATGGAGGTCTGGCGAAATGAAGGGTTGGGTAATGTGTGATCCCGAATTCCTCCTTTCTATCCAATCGTTTACATTTGTTTTGTATTAATTGTAATTGAAACACAATACAGAGCTATTGTAAATTAAATTTATGAACAGAAAAATGGATTTTGCATTGTAGGTTTTCATCATAAATAAATTTTTATTTGCTTTAATAAAACCCTTTTCAGATCTTGCCTGCTTTAGTAATATGGGAGGCATAATATTAAGAATAACTGCAGACTTTTTGAATCCTTGTCTCCTTTTAATGTAAACCTTTTAGTGCGGATCAAAAGTAATGATTAAAGGCATGTTATACAATGAAGAACCCTTTCATACATCTTCACTCAAATCACTTCACTTTCTCTGTACACTATATACATTTTATTATAAAAGACTGATTTTTTAATTATTTCCTATTATTTTCACATACTTCAGTTTATATCATTTAAAAGGTGCCTTTATCAAATGCTTTTTACTGCTTTTGACCTGGCCTCGGAAGGTCATAAAGGTTAAAAAGGATATTGGAAAGGCCAAAAGAAAAATTGAAATGAGTATTGGAGGAGATGCTAAAATAAATAATAAAAGGGTTTTTCAGTATTTCAATAGCATAAGAACAGTAAAGGATGAAGTAAAGTGTCTCAGTGATGGGAACTCTTTAGATGGTGACAGGAAAATAAGTGTCTGATGTACAGTATTCCATTACAGTTTTACTCAGGCGTTAACCTAGAAAAAAACCAGAAAACATACCCCAGGTGATTAAAAACAAGGTTCTATATTCAACAGTACTAACACAAAATTACACAGAATTGTTACAAGTACTAGAAGCAGTGAAACAGATATCCAAACCCTAATAATGTTCTACTAATTGTGCATAAGGACAAAAAAGATGTTATTCCTTGTCCTTGAAGACTCTTCCAACAGTCTCTCGGAGAATGTGTAGTATCCATTGATTGGGTTCTAATGTAGCGCCCGTGTATAAAAAGCATGATTAAAATTGTACCAAATAATTATAGACCAGTAACTCATACCTCAGTTACATGCAAAGTTATGGAAACAATAATTAAAATTAAACTAAAATATCAGTGTGGATTTAGAAAATATACATCTTGCTTATATAATTTATTTGAGTTCTTTGAAGATGTAACAGTAATGACTAAGGAAAGAACGTAATCTATTATACTGTACTAGAGCATTATATGAAGTTCATAAAAGATAAATCCTCAAAATGCAAGCAATATAGTACATGTAGTTTCAAGCTAATCAAGGTAATAATAGATTGATTATGAATTGCTTAATGTATATTGAATTATGTTTAATTAATTTTAATGAGGATTACTCTGTTATTCAAATACTGCTCTTGGCAGTACATGTCTTTTACAGGTTTACAATATACTACAGTAGACACCTGTAGAACTGTAGACATTAATGGGAAACAATCATACGAGAAGGTTCAGTTACCTAATATGGTAAAGACAGAATAAGTTGAATGTAGAAATGTGAGAAATTATTAAAAAGCAGGCAATTGATTGTAGTAAGATAAAGAAAGTGTAAATCTCTAAATAGTTTACATTTTAAAATACAAATCATTTAGTCCATTATATCTTTTGCGATGTTTTCTTTTATTAGTAGCATGTTTGTGTATTTGATGCACAAATCACTCTTCTCTATGTAAGTTATAAGATATTTTAAAGTCTCTTGTTCCTTTTCTTGGTAATGGTCTGTGAAGCCAGTTTGACCACCCCAACATCCTGAAGCTGCTGGGAGTGTGTTTGCTGAATGAGCCGCAGTACATCTTACTGGAACTCATGGAGGGAGGAGACTTGCGTTCCTTTCTGAGAGAGGCTAGGGCAAAACCAGTAGGTATCCAGATTTTTTTCCCAGGACATCACACAAGCAGAGCTTGTCTGAAGCAGTATCCAGCTATGATAAAACCCTAAAGCCATTTTTTTTCTTATCCTGAAGTGGTTAAATGTCTTGTTTATGTATAAACAGTGGCTTCCTTCAGGAGCAGGTTATATGAAGGAAGAGAACTCTCTATATTTTCTTAAGCAAAATTCTAAAAATACATTGCAGAAAGAAATCATTGAAAGAATTGATCCTCTGCAAACACATGACTGTTGGCACATGCTGAGTGTAGAGACTGAAAATGCTTTGAATCACACAGAGTGAAATTCATGGACAAAACACTTTAGATTCAATATTTGTTGAATTTTCTATTTAATTTCTGAATGACTTGCAAGAGCATGAAAAAGCCACTGTATGTGTAATTTTCAGGGTCAGTGTCCATTACTGAGTGCATCAGATCTGCTTCATATCTCTCTGGATGTTTCCAAAGGCTGCATGTACCTAGAGAAACTGCACTTTGTTCACAGGTATTTGGCAGAATTACATTTCTTTTTTGGAATTGAAATACTGTACAAATTTAATATGCATACTGTATGTGCATATTTGGGTTTGCATCAAAATGTCATTTAAAAGAGCTTTTTATTTTTTATGTTAAAATGTTCTGTCAATGTTGCAAAATCTGACTATTGTTTTGTGATTTGCAGTATTTTATTAGACATATGAATACCTGCCATGCTATCCCAATGACAAATGTGTTTCTGTTTAATTATCGTTAAAAATCTAAAGTGGGGTTTCCTCTTGCTGTTCTTAGTGACTCAGTCTGTGCTGGTATTTTTCCAGCTGGATTCCCCATTGTTACATTGAACTAATAATCTGATTAAGTAGATGTTTTAAATTGTTGTACTGCATGTTCCTAAAAATGCAAGGTTTTTCTGTGGAATCTCTGAAAGGTGTAAAGGTTTCCCTTCCTAACCGCCAGTAAACCCTAGCTGATATGCGGTTCTGTCAAAATAATTTTTGAAAAAGCATGTGAGTTCTTCACTAGCTTTTGACTCTGCACAGTAAGCCCTCGGTTTACTGGACTAATGGGGAGAAGGGGTGTCTGTTATTGCCGAATGTCCTTTAAAACTTGAATGTTTTTCTTAGCCCAAAACACACTTTTACTGTATGTGAGAATAAATCTACTATACATATTGCAATAATTGCTCCTTTTTTGGCGGCAGTTGCATTTAGAAAGACAGGCTCAATACGTCTTACCGGCTTTTTATTCCAGCGAGGCAAGTTGATCACAGAGCAGGTAAAGATAGGAAGACAGATAGAAAACAGACATCCTCTGATCTCTGATCGGGGGTAAGGAGAAAGAGAGGGGGTGGTAGGAAGGGGTGAAGCTGGGGCAGAAGGGGAGAGGTCTTGCAGATCACCACAGAGCCCCCCCACGCCCCCAGCGTCCTCGGATCCGCTGTCCGCTCTCAGAGATAAGGGCAAGACATCCGCTCTCGGGCTGTTCGGAGCCTGGTTTTGCCAACCGTGCTTCAGCAGTAGGGTCCAGCAGCTCACAGTAGGTGGGGGGCACTCGCAGGTCCATGCGGTGCATTTTCGGCGCCCTCTGTGGAGCTCAGGCAGCAGGTCCCATGGCTAATGGGAGCAGTGCTAGAATCCACATTCTGTGGGTCCGGGTGCTCTGCATTGTCTGTGGGTTCTGTGGGAGGAGAATGGTGTGAGACTTGACCTCCAGTACACTGGGCACAAGAGAGCCATTGACCCTAACCCCTTATTTGCCATTCACTCAAGTATTTACCAATACTTGAGGTTTTCGGGAACATTATAAGTTATATATATATTATATATATTATAAGTATAAATCATAAGTTAAAATTTGTGGTTCAATAATAGTCAAGATTCGTAGTTAAAACATAAATCAACCCTGAATTCATGAAGACCTGGATATGGAAGCCATGATCTAAATAATTTAATACATTTTCATACATATAATGATATTTTTGTCCTTTTAAGTCCTAAGGGTTATGCAGAGTCTCTGAATAAACTGAACAGGAACATAACTCCAATCCTTAAGATCCAGAATCCAGCAGGTTTTATAAAACCCTTTAATTGATCAACATCTGAAAGATCAACAGACCTTAGAAAAGTGTAAAATATAGTCCTAATTACCTCAATTGGGTCATGAAGACATGCGTAAGGTAGTTTTACTGTATATTGTTAACAGAGCTCAGTATTTCCTATTGAAATATGTATTTGTCATTTGTCTGTGGGATAAATCCATCTTGGTGGTAGTAGCATCACTGTGGATCCATAGATCCATTGTGTGAGATATGTTGGTATCTCCCATCTGGGGGATTAGGGGATTTAATCCCTTAGCTTTGTTACTTTGGGAGAACTCATTGTTGAGAGGAGATATTTTGCTGTAAACAACGAATCTGTAATCCCCTTGCCAGGAATAGGCTTAAACTTTACTTCAGGAAGAATTTTCTGGCACCTTTCGTTCATTTCTTGTCTTGAGGGATTAAGCCTAGTATTTGTTTAACATTTTGCTTCTCTGCACATCTGTGCACAATGAAGGGTGTAATTTTGTTTTTAGAGACCATAGTACTCTTCTATTGTTGTGAGAATATCTGCCTCCCTGAGGGGTACATGGGCATCTTAGTGGGTGACAGTCCCTCTGCACTATTTGGACATCTTCTTGGGGAGGTAGAATGAATGCCTTCAGGCACTGGGGCCCTTCTAGGACTGGAGTTGTGCACCACTGATGTATGGTGATTCCCTTCAAAAGATAAATTTATCTCAATTACACACACAGGGATCTGGCTGCCAGGAACTGCTTGGTAACCGTGAAGGAGTACGATAGCTGCAACAGGACGGTGAAAATTGGAGATTTTGGTCTAGCTCGAGACATTTATAAAAATGACTACTACAGGAAGAAAGGGGAAGGGCTCCTCCCCGTGCGCTGGATGCCACCGGAGAGCCTTAATGATGGAGTCTTCACCACAGCCTCTGATGTGTGGTAAGAACATGAATTATGATTTTTTTTTGATCCGTCAAGCAAAGTCTCAGGTCAATACCTCAGTCACGGAACAATATCTACATTACTGTACACCGATTTGTTGAGCTGAACTGTATTTTGCTATCACTAATGGAATTTAATGGATTACCAAAAATAATATTCTTAATATCCTTTTAAAAAATGTTCTGAAAACAAAGTTGTGACTTTCGCCTCTGGTATTATGTACTGTAGCTCCAAACAATATAAGCTATTGAACTGTGTTTTAAGTAGGTGCACTTTGATACATTATGAACACTGTAACTTGAACAAGGACTCCGTGTGTAAAAAGTGTAAAAATCACTATAAATCTTAATATATGCAATTATTCTTGCTTTTTGTAGGTCATTTGGGGTTCTACTGTGGGAAATTATGTCTTTCGGAAAACAGCCTTACCCAGCCTATTCCAATGTTGAAGTCTTGCATTTTGTCAATTCAGGAGGACGACTAGAATCTCCTAAGAACTGTCCTTATGATTTGTAAGTATACTTGCAAACAGTCAGTTTCAAGCTTATGATATAGTGACAATGTATGACTCTTTCACAATTACCGGTTCTTCACATTTATAATTAAAAATCTTTGTGCAATTCTGGATTCCTAGTACTGTGGAAATCAAAAAAGAAATCATTATTTTTCATATTTATTCTGAAAATCTGTTTTTATTACAATCTGTAAAACTGAAAATTAATATAATTTATCAGTTAAACTTGCAGGTTGCTTTTCCCTTTTATTACTCAGACAAACCCTAATACAAACCATAAATCTTTATATGGGAAAGTAGTAAAGTAAGAGTTTTTTTCATAAAAACAAATTCCACAAAAATGATACTAAAGGGACATAAACTCTGGCCCCTCTGCAGAGGTGTATCTAAATCCAAAGCAATAGTAAGTGATTGTGCCTGGTGGATTTAAAATGAAGAATACATATTTTCACAAAGGTGCAAAAATACAGCTCCTTTCCATTAATTTAAGATGCGGGTATTTTTGGTTTGACAGTAAGGAATAATACTGTATCTCCTGTCATCTCTGCAACTCAGTAAATGCTATGCGATTTTATGTAGTGATTGAAATAACGGACTATTGACAATGAGGAAGTTGAGCAAGTTTATGGAGAAGCTATGGAATCAAACGCAACCTTCATAGGAGATTTTATTGCCTCATATAGAAACAAAGAATATTAAAACAGATACTGGGAGATTTTGGGTAAGGAAGATCAAATGAATGCGTTTAATAATTAGTTGTATTCTGCAAGTTCAACAAGTTGTTCGTGATGTATCCTTCTTTAAGAAGTAAGCTTCATGGTACAAGAAGTCTCAGCAATAGAAGATTTCAACACTGCTGGTAGTGACTATCATCTAGGAAGAAATACAATGCAGCTTATTTTGGCAAAGGAAAGACAGAAATTGGTGAAGAAAAGGACCTCTAAAAGTTTGATGTATTGTCAGATAATATGATCACATTAGTGAAAAGGAGACAAGAAACTAGTGTTCTGAAAACATCTCTGGAAAAATAAGCTGATCTAACTGAAGAAAACTAAGAATGTAACAGAAAGAACTGAGTGGATATTATAATATCAAAGTGGAAAGAAAGAAGTAAGAACAGACTCTACAAAAAGGAACAACGGAAAACTCTTTAAGTGAATTTACAGGCTTCTGTGTTAAAAGTGCAAAGATCCTGAAGCATACTGAGCAGTTATATTGTACCAACTAACTAGTGTTAGAATTGTTCATCAGGACACTCCAGGAGCTGCAGGTGACAACGAACCACCTTAATTAGTCTGTTACCGATCTTATTTAAGACCTTTACTAAAGTACCAGTCACAAGATTTGCCAAGCAACTAAAGGGTGAACAACCAGATCTAGATTTCCACCATTGATCATATTGATCAATTCTCCATCAGATAGCTTTATTTTTGCTCACTACAACAAGGCATTCAATAGCGTAGTAAAAATGTAAGCTGTCATCAAAGCACCGTTTATCAAAAACATCTTTGTACTATCAAAAGTTGAAAAATACCTATGAAAATGTTATATTAAGGATCCATTTCCTTGAGAAAAGTGAGACAATAAGTATTCAGAGGTGTGAGACAAGGCAAAGCCATTTTTCAGAAAGTGTCCATTACAGTCTGCTACTGCAAAAAGGAATGCTGGAGCACCACTGGTTCAGGAGAGAGCAGATACAGTATGTGCTCTCGAACCCAACATATGCTCCAAGCACCTAGTACAAGAACTGATTTTTACCTCTGCTTTTACTGCAAGTAACTCTGGGGCTGGGGGAACAGATATCTTTTCAATCAGTACGAATCCCAGTCTGCTAGCATAAGTACTGGGTCACAGGTTCCAAGCTGTGAACGTAAGAGCCAGTTTAACTTTTTTCCTCAATTACAAAGTGCTGGAGAACCACAGGGATGGAGGCTGGGAGATAGCCGCAGTTTCCTCAAGTCCAGCCTAGGTTGTAAGCAGCTTGTTGAAATTCTGCTTTTGCTCTATGTACAATACTCCTCTACTGTGCGCAGAGGGCTGGTGCTTTAAAGGTTCAGAGACCTAGGGAAGTGCACAGTTTTGCTGTGTTCTTCAACTTGGTTTCACAAGCAACTGCAAATGCTGGATCTTCACAGCCTGAGGCCAGAGGGAGAGCAAAGATATACTCAAACCCAGCATGAATTCCAAGCTCCAGTGTAAAGTTCCCTAGTTCTGAAGCAGGACCTCTGAAGCAGGTTTGCTGGGTTGCCAGGTTAGTGATAAGGTATTGAAAAGGTGGGGAGGGACTGGACATGGATAGTGATCTGTAGTAATTGTGAAACTGGTGAGAGGATTTTAGAGGATCAGCAACTAAATGGATTGCAAGGCTCTGAGCAACAATAGCCATTTGATGCTCATTACAATGGAATTCTCCTATGCAGTTGGGGGCAGCTTCTATAGTTGCCTCTCAGTAATGTAGTTGAACGTGTTCCCTGAGTTAAAGTATGGCTAGCTGCTGCCAAGTCTGATAAGATGTTCTGCAGTGGCTTCTGGATGAAGGTGAATGTTGTATGATCTGCCCCCGTTGGGTTGAGGTGAGTATTGCTGCCACACTGTACTGTTTTGCTAAGTTTTCTCTGGACTTGTCCCACCTCTTTGGAGTGACTACTGTAATTCTATGAGGGATGACTTTTGGCAACACACCTCACCATACTGGTACTGTACCTGATAGGTCCAGAAATCGCAAACCATTTGTGTGCTTGTTCTGCAAACTGGAGATTGCAGGGACACTGCTAGAAATCCAGTAGGGAGCACTGATTATTTTCATTCTGCTTCTGAATATACACCAACAGGGCTAGAAGAGAGGGCTATTAAACTGCCAGGTTGTGTTTTCAGGGCCCAGGTGGTGCTTGATGTGGATAACTTGCTGGATTGCTAATGCTGAAATTCAGGTTGATGTCCTAAAGGGTAGTTTGTAGATTTTGCAGTTGAGGGAGTTGAGTTGAGACTACAGTAGTTATTATTTTTTTTTGCTTGGAAAAAACAGGACTAAGGATCTGTGCCTGTGGCTGGAAGGTTGCCGGTTCGTATCCCATGGCCGGCAGTTGAATCCTACTTCATTGGGCCCCTGAGCAAGACCCTTAACCCCAACTGCCATATAAATGGGTGGCCCTGTGCTCTAACCCCAAGCTTCTCTCACTGCTCGCGTGTCTCACGGAGAGCAAGTTGGGGTATGCCAAAAGACAAATTCATAAAACAAGAAATTGTATATGGCCAATAAAGTGATCTGATAATAACCACTATCAAAGTAGTATTTAAGACCTGTTCATCTACAGTATTGAGAAGTGAATAAGAAATACTTCATTCAAAGTAATAAGTACATGCAATTAATTACATTTTTTCAAATTACTTCTACTGTACATGTAACTTATACTTTGTAAAACCAATCTAAGAACAAGTAATATGCAATTACATATGATTAAGAATAGTAGGGGCAGATATTGATCAACTTAGAGAGTCTCTATTCCATCACTTTCTTTAGTGCAAAATTATACAGTTTCTGAGATTTTGCTGTCCCTGTGTAATATCAGTTGAATTATAATATAGCAAAAGATCAGTCACGTAAGTATGACATATTTTATAGAGTTTTTGAATAATCACTACCATACAAAAGTTATGTTTTCTTTGTAACTGTAGCTGCACATATTTATTTCCATCGCAATTGTGTTTCTTCTACTTTTGTTGGAGAAGTTGAAGAAGTGAACTCCTGAATTTCACTCGCAAAATTACATTTGTGATCTTCCTGTTTTTGTGAACAGCAGAACCCTTCACATCCTACACAGAGTAAGAATATAATCAGGCTTTTATTTTCCCTGTGTAATCTCTCTGAACCTTGAGTGTATCTAAAGTATTTAATATCACCATTGTATGACAAGCAGATCTTTTTTTTAAAAAAGGCTTTCTGGGATGTATTCCTTTAGAGTCTCACCCTGAGCTGAAAATTGCTAATTTTCAGAAGAACAATTCTGTATCTCTGTAAACCTTGAGGGCATTTGAAGTATTTCATGTCACAGTTGCATGACAAACTGGCATTTTTTAAAAGGCTTTGTATCCTTTTAATGTCCCCCTAAGTGAAAAGTGCTACATTTCACATCAACTATTATATAAAACTGTTATTAAAAAATTCTAATATTGTTTTCATTTAACATGTTTTAATTTTGTGAAGACATAATGGAAGAAGGTTTCAAAAGAAGCTACAAAAGCATTCTCGCTGTAGAGGATGCTGCATAGGTAATTACTTCTGTCTAAGAATTGCACTGTCTGCATTTATAATCCTTTCATTTATTGATGAAACTAAGTAAGTGTGTGCTTTGAACTATAGTCAACAACTAATATAAGAATTAACAACATTCCTCTTTTGCAACAATATATGGATGTTTCATCATAGATCCTTTCACTTCTGCATTTTCCTTTGTCTTCTTGTTCAATTACGCCAAACCTCAGCACCTGCATGCATGGCCTGTCAGTAAAGTACACATCTCTTTATTCCTTCACTTTGTTGAAAAAGGAATGCTTAGATGTTTTTCATTCCAAATTCGCCTAACATGCTTCTGAGCCTGCACAGTACAACCAATTATTAATTGTCCTCTATCAGCTTCAGTTTTCTGATTGTCGTTCAACTAAATTACAGAGCTTTGACGTGAAAGGAGAATTCAAAGGACAAAATAGCTTAACTGATTAGTGCTGCAGTTGTATAGTATGTAGGAGAGTATGAGAAAGTGTGTGGGAGTGCAGATGAGAACCCAAAATTATTGTTTGCGTTACTCTTCCTTTACTTGTCTTTACAAGTGCTGGGAGTTGTTACTCTACATTATAGATTTGCATGCATATACTGTAGATACTTCCACACAATTTAAGCCTGAAAAATCCTGTCAAATTTGCATTCCAATGACCTTTTTAAATACACATTTTCTTTTAGTATGTGGGTTATTTGAAATCCACAGTATACTGTAATAATAT